TCAAACTATCCAGTTCAGAGAAAAAACCGCATCAAAATCTGAGAAACATACAGTAGGTTCTTCATTTGTAAAGTGTCAATCTATTGTCTTAGATTTGAATGTTCCTTTTTTCCACACTAATCATTTTCCGTTCTCATTCTCTTTTTTCGATCTTCTTAACCTTCTGCTTCCAGGTATTTCACTTTTGATTGACGATACATGCTACTTATATTTGTTGATATCAGTAGAACACACTACAGTATTATTGTATTTGCATTATTTTGAATGATAGATAACTTATGGATTTAATGAAAACTCAAATAACAATATTCCTAAATGTCTATTTCAATGTAATTAAGTTAACTGATATGTACAGAAATCATAAACAGAATCATAGTGTAACAGACTTAGGTAACAGTAGTAGTGGACGAATACTAGAATTATAACAATTCGTAATCTGAAAATTACATTAAAGTACCCAGCAATTGTATTGGAACCAATTTTAACACCGGAATTGTATTTTGATAAAATAAATCCAGAACTACCTTAAATATGTTCAATCAAAATTGCACTGAATGAATCAAGAACAAGTATCCTGTGATTACAGTATACCCATTATAAATAAATCAGAAGAATAATTTTAACTGATAGATTAACAAAGGTATATTACATTTAATCGTGAAATTCAACCAAAAGGATTGAGCTAATAACTTTAGTTGTCACGTACTTAGTTTGAGTATTCCGATGTGTGAATTTTACATTTCTGCATTAATCATCCCAATTATTGAGTGTAATACATGAATTAGTAATTCTCAGAATCATTCAAAACATGCCAGTAGTTTTATATAATCGTTTCGAAAAGTAAAATAGGTTATTGTAAGCCGTAAATGGAGAAAGATAATGGTCATTAAAATCAACCATCTTGCTCAAATCCGAATTTCAAGGTTTGTTATCCCAGATAGTAAAATGAACAGTAGTAGAATATGTTTGAGCAGTATGATCAATTTTCGCACGTTTAAAACATTTAGCATTATGAAATATGCATGATTTACTTTAATGAAATGTACTATAACATAGATATTTCCCATTTTTTGTACTCATTTTTATACTCCTCATCAAACTGTTTCTTATATATTCATTGAAATGAGAACCATTATTAATCAAATGTAGATTTGAACGACCTTAAATATCTACTGAGTTACAACTGAAAAAAAACTTGTCCATAACACGTTGATGTTTGAAGCAATAGGCACTGGGTTTGTATTCTATGTATAAACGTTAATAATGCGATTCAGATACATCAAACTGTTGAGGCACAGCTAGAATAAAATCGCTGTTTTGAACCTTAGTTCTAGCCAAAATCTAATGGTAAAGTATAACTAACTTCATAACTCATTGACAGTTTAATTAGTTTTACACCATCAGAGAAATCACTTAAAAGGTTTAGCTCAAATTTGGTTTTGTTTACAATCAGAGGTTTACTAATATGCTTAAATACAGGATGTTTCGCAAAATGTGGATGAATTTACGTACTATGCCAGTCGATTTATAAGTAAACATGAACACGTATCCATTACATTACGTTTACTTAACTGACGGCCTGCTCGAATATCTGGACTGCTTGTTCTCTCCATCTAAATATTTTAACAAGTTATGTTTTTGTTTGTTTTAACATATCATTATGTTTGCTAATCGAATAACCTATGGAAAGTTTACTACCTTTCGCTGTACAAGTTACAAAAAAATACAATAAGAGATATCCTGGTGGCTGAACATATGTATTGCGAAAGACGAACATTACTTATATGTGGATTCCTGAACTGCTAATATCTAACTGGTGATCACTTAATACTTATCGTCAGGATCATCCAAGAAATCAAAAAAGAAAACTTGTTGAAATACTCTGCGCTAAGAATTCTATGTTGTACCGAAGATGTAATATTGAATAAAGCCATTAATAATAATAACTGTTATCGTTGTAATACCTAGTTTGTTCGACTATTAGAAGTCATTGCAAAAACTGTCATCAAAGCAATTAAACAAATAGTCTTAATGTTAGTTTAATAGGCTTATGGGGATTTTTTAGTTTGTAATTTACATCACGCTTATATAGCATTAGTAATTAACTTAATAATCCGCGACAAGTAAACGCTGCAAAATTTCTATAGTCAGTGGTCGAATTACGACTATTCGATTCGCATACCGAAAATTCTGATCCTAGAGACTGGATCAATTTTATCATAGACTATTAATTAAGCTTTTTTCTTAGTACTCTATATGTAATCTGTACAATGTTTCCATAACTATTGGTTTCTATAAGTTAACATAAATGAAACTGTAACGGTTGATACTTTTAAATTTTATAAGGGATTGGATAACGAAAGTATAAATTTTTAAGAAAGCATCTCTCTAACGTCATCCTGATGAGATTTGGCAGATACTAAACGATGATTGTCCTAAATCACTATTTATATAGCTAATCCTATAAGTATCAGTAACAGTAGACTAGTGAATTAAGTGAACGTCTTGCGATAATTAAGTAGTAAGCCTAACATGAATTCTGGTGACTTAACTTTAAGATATTCTATCAAATAAATCGTCAGTTGACATCCAAAAGTTACTGATCCCCTATAACTTATGTATGATACCTAATTTTCTTAATTTAGTTCAGTTAAAAAGTTACAACGTTGTTCGTTAGCTTCATTCTTTCTTACTAATAATTGATGAAATAACACATCATTTGCTCGTGAATAACCAGTATCATCGTATATATGATGTGTCAGGTTAAGGTGTATTGGTACATCTAACCACTTGACCTCATTAATTCCATTTCGCGAAAGCGTAGATTAGTGATTAGAACATTTAATTTTCAATTATTATGGCGTGAATTGAAACCACGAGACACTTGTGTTGGTTTAGGAGTCTCGGTAGTATAATCTTCATCCAAACACTGCGGTATAAAGTTGAGGACATTAAACTTGTGAGCTTCATCATATCTTTTAACGAGGGTTCGAGTTAAGATTGATAACTTACTTCATTTAAATGTTTTAACATTATTGTCAGCTGTTCATTACAACTAAACAAATCATATTTCCACAGTTTTCTTAGACGTTTTGCATATGGTTTTATATTAGTTTTATTTGTTATAATTATTATAAGATCAGTATGAAAGCAAAACCAAATCCTATTCATAATTGATTATTTATATTGTCATATGTGTTCAATGAATTTAACGTGACTAATGTCATTTTGTTAACGTTTTTGAATAAAAATGATATACATGATCATATCATAATCAAACTATAATCACTTTGTTTTTATAGAAAATTCACTTTTTTGTTCACTATTATCTGATCAGTACACTATTTTTCTATTACCTCATATCACCTGCTATTCATGTACAACAAAAAGCCAATATCCGTTTTGTTATTATTAGACATACTAGAGATTGACTGGCAGGTTTTGATTATCATTGATGCGCTATGCTACTTGATTTAACCTTGTGACTGTTACGCATGTGTTCCAATTTGACTGACCTTGAAATCAGATTATCGCAGTGACTCGGAAAAATATCTTTTAAAACAGATCCTAGTTAGTTAGGCAAGACTTTCTTGATAAGACCCAATAAGATACTTGTACTTACCGCTTTATGTCTGATGGTTTGATCGAACTCAAAAATATACATGATTACAATTATGTTCAACTTGAACAAAACGCATAATAATCAAGAAATAAGATATTCAGGGTATGAAATTGGAATATTAAGCTTACGATTAGATTACTGTGGGAGATATGACAGTAGCTTATCAATCAAACAGAAGCTTGTAATTAAGGAAATGTGGAAATCGCGATGAACATTAGGAAAAAGCTAAAAACGCCGCGAGAAATGTATTACGTCTTGAATCCCCACCCTGAATGCAAAGTTGAAGTGTTCGGATTATATTAGGGAAGTTGACAACCACATAAATATTCGTTTACCAGGTTGAGTCACAACTGCGAACACTAATAAAACTGTCTGGATACCCAACTCTCAGATGTAGAAAGGCCTTCGAACCCGCAACTCTTATCAAGTCAGGAGCCTTTTTATTTAAGCGGCTTCTCTACAATTTTTCCTGAGCCATTTGCACTAGCAATGAAATCCTGCATTATCCAGAATTAAAGGAAATTTGTATTAGAGATAATTTTGACTGTCGCTCTTACATAATCAGTTCCAAAAATTACCTACCAAACGATTTGTTCTGGAGAACACACGTGGTTCACAGGAATTATTTTAGTAACAAGTAGGTTACCTAAGTAAAATATATATATATATATATATAACCAGTAAACTTCTCTTGAGTATGAAGTGTCAATTACTAGGCCTTATCAGTTTATGCTGTACCTCAAGTACGAACACTATAACTTAATGGAAATAAAAACCAGTCAATCATCATCAACGTAGAACCTGTGCATCGGCCCAAGCTGCCATATTACATGAATTTAGGAAGATGAAACTGACAAGATGAACAACAAATCAGAATATTAACAATGGTAAAAAGCATACTAAATATAAAGTATCTGATTTGCAGGAACAGCATAAAATTACACAATAAGAAATATGGGATCATAATGACATTCAAGACTTATGGTAGGTTGGGAAATGAGCACATCTATACCACTACGACAGATCTTGATCTATGTCACTTCAAATCACGATCACCACACATATATCAATCAAGTAGTTTGGACTTAATAACACGACTTAGCTTGACAGATGATGGTTTCATGAGTTGAAATTATGTCTTGGTATGTCCGTCCCTAGCTTTCTTCCACCTTACTCTAGCACCAGCTACCTATTGTGTCAGGGAGGGTAGTAATTAGACACACGTTTATAATAAATTTGACAAAGTACAACGCTATTAACTTCAATATTAATCCGTTTTGACTTGTATCAATAAATACTCAGGGTGCATACATCTGATGAAATGACAGTGTTATTTTTTGGGTACTATAGCATTTACGCACACTGTAATATTTCCACACAAAAAAGAGCAGTTCAGAATTTTATTGTTATTTTTTATTTAGTACAAATATAACAGGCTTTAAATTTTATTTACCAGAAGATTTACTGTTAATTTAATTTGAAGGAGTATCTCCATCTCCAAACGTAGCACTCCAACCTAGCAGAGGCCATTTTATGTACCTGCTAGAATTTAAGTAGTTCTTAATTTGTGGTAAATCCTGATTAAAAAAAGAAAAGAGTAGGTGAGAGTCCGCCGAATCAGATGAGAAGTAAAAGCACTTTATCACGAACTTACTTCAATACATTGTTTGAAACAAACTAATTTTGGTAACTCGTTCAAGCACTGTGAGTCCATGTATAAAACCACATCAAGAGTGTCGTATAACATAAAGTCAGGATGAGTTACCTGTAGAGATAAATGGATTATAAGAACTCGAAAAGTAAGTGACTATACTCGTTTTCTTTATCTCATTTGAAAATAGAACTACTGTAATAGTCAGCGTAAGCTAAATATTACATTATTTTAATATAAACATAGACTTTCAATCTAAAAATTAGTCTACCTCAATGATGTGAGCAATTTATCTGAGTGAATTACGAGTTAAGTATTACTAAACATTTCCGCTGTTAACATCTACAAAGCTCTCACGTTAGAATGACTTGAAGGTTGAAGAATTTCTATGATTTAGCTTGAAATTGGTCTGCTGACATAAAAACGTATACTCTTTTCCTTTGTTTTCATTTTAAGCATTTCTCTAGTTATTTTAACTTAATATAGTGTGTTTTTATTTTGTCATTTCGCTTCATATTCTGGTATGAACGATCACAACTTGAACCAATTTATATTTTGCTAAATCCTTAATTCACGGTGGAAAATTACGGCTGGGATTTGTGAAATATATATCCACGTATCCTGTTACGCTGAAACATGATCACTCATAGACATAAGATTATCGGAGTTCGCTTTTTAGACCAGATAGATACAACTAAAACAATGAACTGAAGGTCAAGTCATTAAAATTTCATAACTTACGCAGTTACCGTTCAAATACGTTTTGTTAGACAGATGATCTTCGAACATTTTCAGCTTCTCACGAAGTTCGTTGAGAAAATCAACTTTGAGTGTTTGCTTGAAATAAGTAAATTTTAATTCTAGCTCACATATTCCTTATTGCATGCAATTGTCCAAATACTCGTCTTAATATCTAAAATCGCTCCTTCAAGCATCGAAATTTCTGCACGTTCTTCTGGACAAGCCCCTACTAGGAACATAGATTACTATTTTAGCTTACACATGTTGTGTTTGTCAGCTATATAACGTATGATAGCCATAGATTGTGTTAATTTAAAATCACCATCAATATAATAAGGAAGCTAGATAATTAAATTATTACCGTAAAATGGGTATTCTACATTGGGGAACTCCAGGCCCAATTTAAATTTATCGTTGCGCCAGGCATCAACTTCATTGCGATCATATGCATGTTCCTCATATGTTTCTTCAAGATATTCCAGAAGAAGTCTAATTGGTTGTGCGAGCTAAACATTAAGGAAGCTTTTAAATTATGTATACAAATACAGCGCATAATTATTACTATTTGTCAGATGCATAGACTAATTAATTGATAACATGGAAGTGACAAAAATTATTCGAGTAATCTGGTGATCGCTAAATAAAGTCACATGCATAACCTAACTAGGGGAATACATAAATGTTTGGTATCATTCAAAAATAAAAATCAGTACAACTATTCATCCTGAGTTCATTTCCTAATCAGCATACCAAAACGAGACATGAGAGTGAAAATTTAGAATATTGAATGGTATACTGAAAACCAAAGCGTTTCATTTCTCTACACGAAACAAGTATCTTTGTAAAACGTTCTAGAGAACGATATTATCGCATCAGGGTGTGAATTTAAAACAAGTAGATACTTTTTAGTAACGAGTATAATAGAGTTGAATCTTACCTTTAGTACTTTATTATAGAATTTTGACTTAAAATATGAAAAATTTATTGCTGTTTATCACAAAAACGATCTGTTTTTGCAAATTTTAAAGGAAAACAGAAAAAATTCACAACAAAATGATTACCCTTTTAAGAAATAAAAGCCAAATACGTAAGTAACAAAGTGTATTAATTTTTCAGCGATTATAATAAGCATATCATCAGCAATCATTTTTAGCGTCGTGATAAGCGAAGGCTTGGTCCTAAACGTGAAAAGCACGTCAAATTTATTTGTTTTTATATCATAGTCTGTTATTACTAGATCACTTTTACTGAAAAAAGTGAGTTTTTATCATTTGCATCTCTATAATTTGGAACAGATAGTTGGACAACAGAACAAATGCTTTCAACTATCAACGCCTTTAAAGAAAACTAAGCTTCCATTAAACATATAGTAGTAAATAAATCTCCAATATAAATAGACATACAAGTCTTCGACATTGATCTTGATCCCATTAGTTTTACTGGAAGCCTTCTAGCTGAAGCCGCTCAGATAACAGTTCGCACCAGATAACCATTGGACACGCAGCGCTTCACAACCAGTCACCTTAGATTACATACTTACATACATACGATTTGCCATATATATATATATATATATATATATATATATATATATATATATATATATATATATATATATGTTCGCACGCCTTCATTCCTGACTCTAGGTTTGACTGGGCGTTACAGAAAACAACGTTGTCAAGCCCTGAATATCCGTTACATCTTAAATCACCCAGTTTTGACTATTCAGACTAGAATTGCTTTGTTAAATCAGTAAAATAAATCGAGAATCGGTTATAGCTTCTCCATATTTCTCTACATTAACAGAGTTTTAATCACCATATCAGAAAACACTTATTAGCCCCACATTCTTACTTATAAACCAATGGTGAGAATCTGGGCTGAACACTGGAAACATTAATTAAGCATTGTTGATGATTTTAGGTTCCTAAATATTATTTAATAGGGAGAAAGTTATTAAATGGTTAAATGTCGATTTCAAATATTTTTCATTCAGTTGATTTTTGTAGTATTTCAATTTGATTCCTGTCCATTCGACTTTGATTATTTCAGTTTGATATTTTTCAGCACAAAATTAATTCGTTCTAGTTAATACATCGTGATTTTCTGTCACTTTGTTCAGTATCATATTCGATCGAATTAATTTTAAGTGATTTTGTGTACAAGTAACAATTATTCAATTCAATAACTTCTGTACTTGCTATTCAGTGAATTTATTCGGTACATAACCGAATGGATACAAAGTTAATTTGATTTTTTTGGGGGGGGGATTTCACCGATACGTCATTCTTATACAAATTCCGAAAGTTTTATCTTTTTTATTTGAATGCAGATTACTAATATACGGTGTCAGTTGTTGGTACAGACAGCGTAATGTATTCGGAAAGTCTTCCAAATGATTGTAATTCGAAATTATTGTAAACATCGCAAAACGGCATGAACATAGTACTTATGAATATTCATTTGTTATTTTAGTTTATACACTACTTTGAATCTCGTTCTCAGCTTCTTAAAGCTTAGAAACCTATTTCTGGAGTATAATACTAGTTAGCAACTAATCCTTTTACTATCTCTCACAGTTTATACTACATGTCAATAATTTCACTAACAATAATTGTTGGTATACTAAGTGAAATGAGTTGGGGTGAAGAAAATTCATGTGCAACTTTTTTTCGCTGATCAGTTTTTATATAGATAAAAGTGTGTGATAAATAACTAATACTCGACTAGGTTCATCGATCAACTGCTGCCATGATCTAGAAATGGAATATATAGATGAGTGCTTATGATTTCACCATGGAGAACAGTATGTCTAAAAGCATACTACATGCAGATTTTCTACCACGCAACTTAAAGTGATTGTATGTTGGTACTACCATTACCAGTTGATAGAGGAGAACATGTAATAGATAGTCATATTTTTAAACTGTCATAAATGCAGTGAAGAGGTTGAAATGTCTATTGCAAGAGTAGCCTTCCTAAGTTTTATAAAAGGAGAGAAGACATCACTGCATCCTGAAGATTTTTTGTCCTCCAACCAACACCAACATTTGCAGTACAAGACGACCTTAACTCCACCCATTTAAGAGCAGAGAAAACTGTCCTGATTGTTTACATAAGCTATTATAAAAATAAACCTACTTGGAATCATGGCAACGTATTTATGTGGATTTCCTTGGCAAATTTTGAACTCAGTATCCTTTGGTTATTATAAGTTCATATTACAGGAGTGTTACTCATGAACAGTCCTTGCAAAAGCTTTACTCAAAGAGTAATAAAGAGGACATAAAGTCGTTAAGGGATACCCAATATATAAGTAAATAATAACGAAACCCAGATGGCTTACTGACATCTAGTGGCGTTATCAATTTACAATATGGAAATTGTGACAACGAAATTATTTTGTAATTAGTTTTTGATACTACTTGCATATCTCTCATTATTTCTCATAGTTTGTACATTTACTATGAGTGATTGTAAAATAGTTGTTTAAAATGGCATGACCTTGATACTCCCTTTTATGTTTTGAATCCCCCATAGCACGATACACCACATTCTCAGTCCAAAGGTTTATCAGAAAACATTGTCCAAACTCTAAAGAGTGCTACCACATGAGGGAACCCAGGTAATCAAAAATTATCAGGAAAATGTATCAAACATTTCACACTTCAATATCATAATACATTAACAAAGTGATTGACAAATACAATCGAAGACACGCGGACGAAAGCGTAAATGAAGCAGAAAGGCCTATTTTTTTCTTCGCATCGGTTATTTGGCGGAAATATCGATTCCCCCCCCCATAAATCGTATGTTTGGGGAAAATTTGTAGACAAATATACGTAACGTGCCATGTTTGGATAGTGCCGTTCCCTATACTTACATTTTCACAAACCTCTACGAAATAACGTACTGTTATCATAGATAGACTTAGACAGTGGAATAAAATAAGAACGGCTTTTATGAAGAAAACATAACTTGCTTTCATTTAGTCAGTCTGGTAGTGAAAGGATGACCAAAGGTAACTGACTTTGGCAGTGATTTACGTTGCATTAATAGCAGTCAACATTGAAATTAGTTGTAATGAGATCCCACCAACTGTAACAGCACAGTCATTACCAGTGGAATAAACATTTCATGTTCAACTTCGTTTTCGAAAGCATTTTTTAAACATGCGCTTATTTTCTAACTTGCATGGGAAACTCGCTGAGTGAGTGTTGAGAAGCCTGTTTGATTTTAACTGCATTTGTAATTATATACACGTGCCCAATCAATAACACAACCTGTTCTTTCTTTTGCAGATCTTTCCAACTTACGATAAGACTTGGAAATTATAATCAAAATACATAAAAATCGATGCTTTAACATCTGTCAACATCTGCACAATATGAAGTTTTTTCTTTTCAATAAATTTCTATAAACACGTACCATTTTTAACGTTGATTGCAGTTGTCGTGTGGTGTGTTATGGAAATAAAAGCGAACGTAAGAGACATACGATTAGACCAAAGGTGTGTTAAAAACTGAAGCAATTTTAGATAAATCGGTGTGTGTTTAGGCGAAAAGTAGACAATTTAGCGACATTTAAAACATAGAATGATATAAAGGGGGAAATCCACATTATTTTCTCCTGTCAAGTGAGAAACCAGACATTTTGGCGTTTCCCCTTTGTTTACCATTATTTCCGTTTTATTGGTTGCTTGGGCAGAACCTTACTAAAACTCCAGCATTGTAAAATAAGTGTAGAATCTTCCTTTTTAAAATGATACACTTACGCCTCTGATTTTCCAATAACCCAGTTTCGGTGCCATGACCGACAGATGTGATAGCAAGCCAATGACATGGCTTATAAAGTCGACTTGTTTTACTGCTACCCAAGGCTATCTAGTTTCTACATCCAATATACAGTTTGTCTCTTGATTCAGATTCTAACATCGAAGAAAGGACGCTGACAGCTTGTTCTGGATTTTTGCTAGTATGCTGCTGTGATTGTCCAATCTTTTCTAAAATGAGTCATCAGAATGTGAGTACACCACTTCTTCGGTTGGAAGCTTCTAAGAGTTGATGACTTTATGCGATGTCTTAGGTATTCTGTTCGTTCACAGCCTCCGAACTTGCCTGACATCCCCCCGTAATTTCCTAATCTAGTAATAAAGAAGATGAAATATATCAGTGTAGGAATTATTTCTAAGTATTCCAAGCAACTAAGGATGCTGCTGATACTCAGTACCGAATAACACCAACGATGAAACATGCAAACGATTCTTGACAAAGTTGCTTTCTGTAACGCTCACTCAAACCCAAAGTCAGGAATGAAGGAGTTCGAATATATATGTATATATTTGAAAGGTAGTGTGTATGTAAGTATGTAATCTAAGGTGACTGGTTGTGAAGCGCTGCGTGTCCAATGGTTATCTGGTGCGAACTGTTATCTGAGCGGCTTCAGCTAGAAGGCTTCCAGTAAAACTAATGGGATCAAGATCAATGTCGAAGGTTTGTATGGCTATTTATTTCGGGAATTCACCGCTACATCTAACTTCAACTCTTGTGGGTTGGCGACGATCCGAGGACGTGATCAGGCAGACGTTTTGTTATATGTGCTAATTATATCGACATAAGTAGTATATACCGCTATCCCGGGATAGAATGTTTTGCAGTATAATCATTTAACTGCAGAACTGGAAAAGTGATGTGAACAGAAGGAAGCTCAGTAAATTTAAAAAGTACTCATCTATGATCTGTGGGACTTTATGGTTCTTGCAGAACCTTCGGCCAATTATCAGATACTGACGAATTTTCATTGCGGTCGTTAAGTATTGTAGAAACCATCATAGTCGCGTTGACTGTGTCGTTCGATTATGTAGCGTTAAACTGGACAAATGGATTCACTTCGAACTAAGCAGTCTTTAGCCAGTCGATGTTAGACGTTGTCTTTTTTGGTGCAGTATGTAGGTTTACGACATAAACCTTAGTACTGTCCTCAATCGCAGCTTCGAGGGATCGGTGTAACAATTTGCGAAAACGTACATATTAAATCGCAACGCAAATTTAGCGACAACGTCATTTGTTTGCGATTAGGTGAAAGAAAGCTTAACTGAAGGTATTGCGTTTGCATGCCCGCGTGGGTAGGAAATTAGATCCACATTCAGAGAAGATGAAAAATGCGTGAATTCATCTAGAAAATTTTAAGTGCCATGCCATACACGTATTCCCCTGCAATACACCCGGAGTCAACACACACTGCGTTGTGGATCCATTACAACATGAGTGGAAGAGTCAGTCCAATATGATCCTTTACAGCTGAAATTAAGTCTCTCAACTTTCAAAAAAACCGTTCTATCGACCCATTGGTGGAAAACTGTCATTCAGAATCGCGTTATCTCTAAATGTTTAGTAAAAGGGGAGGAAATTACGGATTTCTGACAGCCAACATAAGAGCGTTCACGCTTCCTCACGTCTTTAATAATATCAGTCTAGCAAGAGCTTCTTGCAATGAGCTTGGTAACCGCTCGAATACCCGGATAAGAAGCGTTGTGCAAAATAACTCAAAAATTCGGAATGATAATGTTTCGATACGATAGGATCATACTTACCAGTAAGTGAGTCAAATAGTAAAGTCTACTTACCTATTCCTCCCTGTTTGATCCATAATTTTAGAGTTGTAGACAATAACTCGTTTTGAAATATAGAAGCGTTTAAGATCGATTGTTCAGAAACTTTTCAATGAATATATAAGAGAGGATTATCTTGTAACCACATTGTTTACCACAAGAATATGTGTGTATCATAAGTAAATTGAAGGACGAAGTTCACTTTCCCGGACTCTGAAGAGGGGTAACTGTACGGGGATGGGTTACTAGAAAATACAAGAAGTTTATTATCGATGTAAAGATCGAATGCCCGAACATCAATTGGTTTTTAAAAGTGACATACAGTACAATACATGGCTAGGAGTTCCCTGCTGAAAGTGTTATACCACGATTCCCTATATGTCAACCGTCTGGATAAGAATGTGAAGGAATGTTAAGTTTCTTTAAACCACTTTTGTCGGACTTCGTTTACTGAGACAGATTGTTCTACTGCGAGTAATTGAGCTCGTGGAGCCAGCATCCCTTGCCCATGAAAGGTTAGCTTCTGAATAAGCGGATCAGATCTCAATATTATCTGGCATCAGTTGCATAATAGGGATAAAATGCATAATCCAACCGTGATATTCCAGGACAGAGAATATCACAATACATAAACAAATATATATAATGCTAGGATTAGGAGAAGATTCATAGGTATCTTTAAGGCTCACCACTGAAAATGACGTTTCTGACATCTACACTATCTAAAACCTATCATCGTACGAGGCATGCGAAATTCGAATCCAAGGAAGATAGGATAAGAGAAATATCTGATAAAACGGTTGATGTGCCGATCTTTTTGGAATGCAAATTGACTAGTCGTCCTAAGAAATAAGCTGCATAGCCAAGTAAAAATTGAAGTGATGAAGACGCTTGGCCGAGGGCACTCAACTAGGTCTGTGACCAGCATAAGTAATACATCCAAATCAACGTCGAAGACTTATGGACCTGTTTATTCAAGCGATTTGTTCGCCACAACAGTTTACCCATGTTTATCACATCTTCAGGCATTTGTCTCTTCTTGGATCTTCTGAACCCAATATTTTATCTTTGTGATCTCTTGCACTGCAACCGAAAACCTTCTGTATGGTTATGCGATAGCTACTTAGCCAAAAACTCTGTTTTATGGGGAAAAACAAACTTTACAAGGCGCATAAATCCACAAATAACTTCCAAATCGACTGCACCTCGTTCAGTCGAGTGACTGGACTATCACCAGTTGAACAGTAGCAAATATCTTGGCCAGTATCAAAACAAAAAAGTCAGTCGGAATATGCTTGACACATAGGTATTGTTTATCGAACACTGAATATTGGAGGGCGTTTGAGTTGATCTGCACCCGAGGTTGTTCGAATATGTAGTTAAAAATCGTTAGAAAGCAAATGGATGGCGAAATGGATAAGACACCGAGACTTCAAAGTTTCCCCAAGTCGGTTTTCGTGAATCCTATGATGTGTGAGTTTACAAATGTCGCATCCGTTTTGATTTCATTTGAAATTTAATATTTATTGTTGGAATTTTCCAACAATTCTTAGTGTTATAAAGATCATTTGTTGTGTAGACGTATATTTTAGTCGTGCAGCTTTTCGTTAATTTGACTGTACTGTTCTGTAATAATTTATTCGCCATTTTGCAATCTTGGATGACGGGATCTTCTACATACACCAATAGTTACCTTATGCAGTGGAATATATACGTGTTGAAACACAGGTTTATGATCTTGTCTATATTTCATTTACCGTCCCAGAGACGACTTTCAATCGTACTGAGGATGTTTAACTTAAGAGAACCTCCTATATCATAAACGTTCGCAATGTGCTCCTGAAACATGCCTGTGGATATTTAGATTCTGGGTCTAACGATTGGGCTCTAAGTACATATTTTTTTACTGCTTTAGTTCTGTTTTTATACTCATATGTAAACTGCTTGGCGCTGCATGCAAGATCTATATTAACTCTCAAGGTTTGGTTAGTGTCTGAGTGAAGTGGACTTCATATTCGACTATGTAATGTCTGTACCAGCAGTCCTTTTATGCAACTGTATGAGATACTGATCTACAACGGATGTTGTGCTACAGCTTTATGAATGAAAATTCTCTAGTCAATTTGACTTGTTTGCTACATACTTATTCCTACCGTATAATAGTCTATTACATTTAACCCGTTAGAACATTTGTATTCATGCTAAAATGAGTCTTCAGTTCTCGTAGGATTGTTATTTCATTTTTGTTGCTACCATCAAGGACGTTATCCTCAATTAGGAATCTTCGGTAGGGCTATTATTTACGGATGAACCAGTCAGATGTAAGATAGTCTTGTATGTTGGCACGAAATTCATTCGTACATTTGGCTAAATAGAGTTTTGGCATTATAGGTAATGCCAGTTCGTGATGAAAACCCTAAATCTAACTTTTAACTGTAACCATCAATCGTAAAACACAATTCTAGTTGGTTTATAACTCTCATTTAGTCCTGATCAGTAGGTGTCGTTTCTCAAGGTCACTTCAACTTCGCTCAAAGGTCGTCCATGAATTATACTCCTACCGAATCTTCTTTTTCTGATTGATCTCAATATCGTAAGATGATTACACATCGCTATAACCACTTATGGGTTACAAGAACTTTACAGATATCTCTCGTATTTTTTACCTAAACCCAACTATCATTTCTATGGTAATCGATGCTGTCGGTGATGTTCGCAAATAGTTACTTCCCAGCATTTTGAGTTCCTGTTTTTTACACTAAATGCATATTTAGTCTAGATGGATATATGCATGAGGGAATCGTTTATTTATGGGAACAAGGAAATGGTTTAATTTTTTCAACTGCACTTATATAATAACATAATCATGATTCTCAAAGTAATTTTGTTTTAAAGACTGAGTTATTTCTATTCGCTTTGTTATTTCAGTCCACAATTTGGAAAATGAATACTGGCTTAAAAAATGCTCTTCACACCCTGAATACGGAGTAAGCTTAATTACTGTTACGTGAAATAAAAAATAAAATAATCACACATTACCATTGTTGATTAACATTACTACGCTCTTGGATTTTGTACACGGGAAGATTTTCAAGAATAAATATCAAGATTAAATTGTAACACTTCAACATTTCGCTGAACTACTTTGGTTCTAGCCTCTTTGTATTCTTTGCATAACGAAGGTTCACCATCGTAAAGTAATTAACCCATCATTTTACTGTCAAATTTAGCGAATTTTTTAGTAAAACAAGATCAGAAAATGGTTTATGAATTTCATTGCCAGTCATTATCAGATGAACCAAGAGATACTTAAATCTGTCTTCATTGTGACGAAAAATAGTGGTCAATTACTGGTTGTTGTGTAACATTTACTTACACCATCGATTGATCATTTGCTAACTGATAAATCGCTTAGTAATGCTATTTATCTTGAATATTTTGTAGACAACTAACAGCGTTTAAGTCCTTGTTGTATCATAATTAATCAGTGAATCTGTTTTGTGAAAATCCTTAATTCGGGATTTGTCCCAAACAAAACCCATCGGTTTGTTAAAAAATATCCATTCCATTGTCATAATAACCCTTCATCTACTGTAACCGTAAAATTATGTGAACCAGCAACCTCTGGATGTATCAATGTCGCTGAATCGATGAATATGAATTAGCAAACAAGATACGGAACTATTCAAATCACCATAAGGAAAACTAGTGGGAATACGATAAATAACTTTGAACGACTTGTTTCTGTCCACTATATGACCGCTATCGATCACGTGTGATAGAACCGAGCTGCGTATTGTTTTGACGTAACCTTTTCCCAACCACGAAGGGAGGTGTTCACTAACTCGTTGGTTCAGTTGCCTGGTAGTGCGCCCAATATAGCCTTCTCCACAGGAGCAGCTGAATTCGTAGATACACATAGAAGTGGCATAACCAGGTAACTTATCCTTTAATTGCGGAATCACCATCGATCGGGTCGATTACGATAGGCAGAGGTTGGCAGCATTAAACTTTCTCTTTACTGCTCTAGTCAATCTATCCCGTAATACATCGCTAGCTAAATCACCATTGAATTGCAGCTTCAAGAAAAGCGGTTTCTTATTAGCCATCAGTCACTATTTTCTTGTTTTGCACCCGCAAGTGTTTCTTCGGGAACCCCAGTGGATATCCCAATTCAACCAAAATATTATGAATGTGTTGTAATTCTCTATCAATTGTGTCGACTGAGCATATCTTAATAGCTCTATTTGCAAGAGGCACAAAGCTTAAAAATGTGTGTATTGGCTTGGAGAAGAACTTTTCCTATACACACCTCTGCTGATAGAACCATTTTCTTTTCTACTTAACAAAACGTCCAGGAAATTTAGTTTGTTATCTATTTCCTCCTCACATGTAAATTTAATAGCAGGATGTTTGTTATTAAATAGTTCCAGTAGTTGTTCTTTTCTAATGTTCTGATCGGCAATGATGAAAGTGTCATCAACGTAACGACAGTAGAAATCCAGTTTATTGATAGCCTCTTTGAGAGATCCGTTTTCTAGTTTCACCAGAAAAAAAATCCACAAGCAAGGGACCCAGTGGCGAACCCATCGCTATACCATCAATTTGTCTATAATATGTGTTATTAAATACAAAATGGACATTCATTGTGCATTTCAAAAGAAATTCTTTAAGACAAACTTCAGGAATTCCAATATTGACTTGTTTTTCCTGCAGTTGTTGGCACACAAAATCGATAGTCTCTGTTAACGGTACGTTGGTGAACAGAGAAGCAACATCTAAAGATATCATTCGTTTCCCATTTAAATTTATATGTTCCACTTTGGAAATGAAATCGAAGACGTCTTTCACGCTCCTATTGACGACTAATTTGTGTAAGGGGTTTAGGATACGAACTAGCCACTTTGCAGTTTTATGATAGGGCGAATTATACATATCTAAAACTGGGCGAAGAGGAAGACCTGTCTTGTGTGTGTTCGATCCAGTAGGCTTGAGTGAGTCATGTATGTCAGGAGTAAGAATACCTTTAATTTTTAATTCCTTCAGTGAGTTAGTCAGCAATTGATTATTTGTTCGAAACCATCTTACCTACTTTTGTATAGATTATGCGTTTTGTTAGCTGTAATAAAATAGATTTGTCAACATAGTATGTCGCTAGTAAATTAAATTTAGTGACTCCTGATCAAGGGAAAAATGTGGAACCGGGCATTCAAAGCCCCAGATTTATAAAGGTTGCTGAACACGCTTTTATTGGCTCAGTTTTCATCGGGGTTATTAGTTCTGGGTAGGACTTTAAACTGAATATTCCCAAATAAGGCAGAATGTGTCAGAATATTCTACTTGACACTGCGCTCGTTCTTTTGCTTAGACGTATTGAACGCTACATCAAATTAATTACTTGTCAGATTATCCCAACTCCAAACAAATTGCAGGTCGATTTTTTTCACCGGTCCTACTTCCTTTACTATCTGTCTTTCATTTCTTTTTACTGTTGTAAAGGTAATCACACTTTCTGAATTTTAGCTACTTAAGCCTTCTGAAGGTGAACAATCGCGTCCCATAAGCTCTTTTTCTCCACAAATTTTACGGGAGTTTCATATTTTGTTGGCTGAATGGAGATCAGAAGCTCGTGAACTAGTGGCGTGTATGAAAGAGAAAGAAAGACAATCTGTTTTAGCTTCAGTTGGTATTCAGGCATTTTCTGAGGATGTTCTGTCTCAAAAGAACATGGACATACCCGGTGATCTCAACATCAAAAAGATGTCACAAAGAAACCTTTCTACTTCTGCTGTGTCGTGGAGGAATTCAAGCTTTGTTTCTGGTATGCGTAAACGAAAATCAACTCAATTAATTCGTGGCAATCGATCTTCAAAAGTTAGTTCTCTTAGTCTTCTAAATTTAATTTACATATTTAGTGCGACTCATTTAACAAGTATGGTTTCGTGTACACGGAATTAGTCTGCACTTCATATGTAAGGGCTGGTGATAATACTGAACTACCCTACCTAAGTAAATGTAGGGTTTGAACTTGCAATCCTGTATCTAAGAGTCAAATGTCGTAACCACGTGACCACTGCTCTTGATTTGCTAGATAAATGTTAATTGTTACTTTAGGGACTCCGTTAAAGTATATTGACGTTTTAACTGTAAGAAAAAAATATAACTTCATGTCGTTCCTTTAACAAGACAAACTGTTTCCTTAATATATGAAAACTTTCCTTAAGTGTGGAATTTTAGAGTGAAGTGTTACTCTTTATGAATCGGTTTAGAGTACATAATTTTAAATTACATGTATAGCGAGTAAAAAACAGTAGATGTAAAAGTATTTGAAAAGTTTGTTTAGTAGCTTTTTGGTAAGCTTGAAGCTTATTTTTACTTGTCGATTACAGATTGCAAATAAAACTCCAGACTATAAGGTCACTAATATTGCACTTTAAGCAACTATAACCCTTTAAATACCATGTGTAAACCAATACTTTTGTGTTAATTTATTCACATCTAGTTCGGTCGTCCATCCAATTATCCTCCGAATTCATCATGGTCGCGAAAACATTGTTACAATAACTCATTACTAAAACGGCGTGATATAAACAAACCATCCATTCCAGCTGAAAATCTGAAAAGGACCACACATACTGACAACAAATCCCAATATCTAGATGAAGGCGATGATGAGGAAGAAGACCAGTTGACTGCTATAGTTTCTCGCCAACGTCAAGCATTTTCTGCGCGTGCTGCTGCTGGTCGTCCGAGTATACGTAAAATACAGTCAGATCTTCAAGTCAAATCTGGTGATGCCGTCTTAAGCACAGTCTCTAGTGTTCCAGCAGCTAGGAGACTTTCAGCTAAAGTGTTACGTGCGTGGAAATCTTTGGCTAAAAAGATAATTTGTAAGGTGGCAAGGCAACGTGGTACTAATCGTCGAGATAAGATAATCCTAGCAAAACGCGCTGCTCGTGAGTGCGCACGTTTGTTACGTCAAAAGGCGTTGCTTTCCCAAAAAGCTGCTAGAGATTCAATAAGTAAGTGTCCATTTCTTATTTCCTCCTTAATTAAGGTATACCTTAAATGCATAAATTCTGTGATACTCAAGATACCTTGGTACATAAATTATGGACCAAATTTAAATAGTCAGGTTTTTGATTATCCAATCAAGACAATACATTTAAGCGAACAATGCTGTTTTCTGTTATTTCTTTACAAGACAGCAACATTTACATGTATGAAAAATAGTAAATCAACCAAGGTAGTTTGTGAGTCAATAATAACAGCAAAATAGATCACATAATCAAGCATAATAAGTAAGATTTGCAAATTGATAGCAAAATGACAGATAGATATGAGCATAAAGGCTTGAATCAAAGTTTCAACATGGAAAGTTTGTTAACACTTGCAAATATAGACACAAAAATAGCAATCATTAAAAATAATTAGGATTACGTTTAAAATTTTCAAGTAATTAAATAGTGAGGAATATAAACGAAAGAGGTTGATGGAAAAATTTTATAAAGGATGTGGAAAATAAGAATAAATATTATTACTAAAGCCGTCTTTTATGCTTTATCTAGTCATGGAAAGAACAGTGTCTAAATTCTTGTCGCTTCTGTTATATTAAGACGAGGTCGAAGCCCGTCGGGAAACAATTATGCTATACGACAGATCACTTGAAATGATTTAATTTTATCTCACGTAACTACTGTCGACCAAATGCGGCAAGACAACGCTACGTTTTGTATTCGTCTGCCCCTTTCCAAAACAAGATGTTCCCTCAATTGTTGGTTAAGTTGCTTTATGGTATCCCCAATATAGCTATCTCCGAACGAGTAGTTGAGTTTGTAGAAGATACACATAGGAGAGGTAAAATCAGGTAAACTATTCTTAGTTTAAGTTGATGTTACTAGTCAACTAGGAAATGCTGAGGTACGATTAGCTGCTTAAAAAGTTTTTTTTAACGGCTCTCACTAATCCACTATATAGGACATCGCTCACTAAATCTCCATTGAGTTTTAGTTTTAGGAAAGGTAGTTTCTCACGATTGGTTCATATTTTCTACTTTCAGTTCCCCGTGAACATATGCCTTACTGGTTGCTGATTTCTTTAAGCACGCGATTAGTAAATTCTGGCTTCTTTGTGATGTCATCTGAGCAGATCTTTTTTGATCTGCTTAAAAGCTTTCTAGCTAGATTTATGTTGCACCAAAGGCATGTAAATCTAAAGAAATTTGTACATGTAACTTGCTATTTATATCCTATAATAGTTATAAGTTAGTGATCTGCTACTTCGTTTATTCGGTTCCTCCTTACTACCTGGTTTTTACAACCATAAATGTCACCCTACAAGAAAGAGATTTTACATTAGTTTTTCAAGAGACACCATCCAAGTCTTTACACGGCCTTAACAGCACAGCTCAACCCTGTGGCGCAAACACAGGTACCAAAAAACTCTGGTAGACCAATGTTCCTGTTCTAATCCAGCCGATTCAGTGTGTAAGCTTGAGATCCTACTCGTTCCATAACTTGGTATACTAGCTACCTCATTATCAACTATCTATCCATAATTAAAATTACCTTGAACCAGAATAGAGTAATGATTAAGATTTTCTTTGGATTACTGTAGACTGACTCTACCAATGATAACTACTACTAGAAAAATTACCGTTGCTTCAACGCTCACTCAAACAAATCTTATTTACAATCATATGATAAAATTTCTATTTCTTTTGTACTACTCCCTTTTATTTTCATTTCGCGTATTTTATTTTTCAACTTACACAGAAACTCGCCTATGGTGGGAACCCTGTCCATATGAACGACCTCAAGTCACTGACTGGTCGACAGTTGAATGATCCCACCGAATACGTATACTGAAACAGTCTTTCTGAAATCACGTATGCCATTCAAACTGGCTTCCTTCAACGTTCGCACACTAATGCAGATCGAACAACATATAGGGTTGGCTATGTCTTTAGAAAGTCTCAACATGTCTATTGTCTATCCAAGATCCGTACTCAAGACTCTACTAAGGTACTGCGAATTCGCTCCATCTGTCGCTTCGGAAAACCTGTTTCACGTGTGTTTATATAGACACCCTGTGGTGTATCCTTTAGTTTTTTGACGCTGGTGTCGCACTAAGCGCTAGAGCTGAGGCAGCACTAATCGATTGGATCTCCATTAACAGTCGATTACGTGCTGTTAGATTAGAGAGTTCCAACAAAGTGAGAAGAAATCGGCGTGAGAAATGATGTCCTTTCGTCATCTCCGCCTATGCCCCGACAGATTGTAGCCCGGATGCAATCAAGGATAGATTTTACCGCCGGTTAACTGTTCCTCTCCAGAAAGTGCGTACGACAGATAGTGTAGTACTAGCCGGAGACTTGAATGCTCAGGTCGGGCGTCTAGGCACAGAAGAGAGTTGTTTAGGTGGCCAGTGGGGACTTGTTGGTCGCAGGATAGATAACGGGGACCGTCTACTGCAACCATGCACAGACCAAAACCTGTTTCTGGTCAGCACTAACTACCGGCACAGTCATCGCCGATGTGCCACCTGGCATCCTTTATCTGCACCTCAAGCCTAGACTCAGATTGATCACGTCGCGATCAGCTACCGCCGGCGTGGTTATGTACAAGATTGTCGCCCCTTTTGGAGTACCTATCTGGACTCTGGTCATGCCTTGGTCTGCGCCAATCTTACCTTACTTTTCAGTGGCCAACGAAGTGACCGCCACCAAAGGATTGATGTCAGCAAGTTGGTTGCAACTAAGTATCGAACCGAGCTAGCTTCTAGGCTAGCTACCATTCCACCGAAAAGTATAGATGAGCATTGGTTGCAACTTCATGACGCCATGAAAATGGCGAGTGAAGTCGCTTGCGACTTCGCGAAACGTCCTGCTTATAAGCACTGGATTTCTTCAGGCTCCTTACAACTCATTGAAGCCTGTCGGTCTACTCCAAGTGACCGTGAGTTTGACCACAAACGACCACTGTTACGTAATGAAGTTGAGCAAAGCTCGCGTAAGGACCGAGAAGCCTGGTGGTCAAAGCGTGCTAATGAGCTGGAAGCAGCAGCTGCATCTGGTAATTACCGGAAGCTCTTCCAACTCATCCGAGCCACTGGCAGCAAGAAGTCTGGTGTGAGCGAAACAATCTGTGGGGATGACGGGATGCCAATCACTAACATCCATCGACGTCTTGGACGATGGGCAGAATTCTTCGAAGGGCAGTTCAACTGGCCTGCTGCTCCGGCAACATCGGTCAGACTGTCCTGCCCTCCATGGCCGGTGAAGACTGATCCACCAAATGAGGTGGAAGTCCGCAAGGAACTCCAACTCTTGAAACGCTACAAATCACCTGGCCCAGATGACTTACCTCCGGCTCTTTTTAAAGATGGTGGTGACTTTCTGACTAAGGAATTGACGACGTTGTTTACAAAGGTTTGGGAACTAGAGAGTGTACCAACGTCATGGAATCAGTCGATAGTTGTCCCTATCTCTAAACAGGGTTCACGTCTTTTCTGTAACAACTATCGAGGGATAAGTCTACTTCCGATTACGTCCAAACTGTTGGCTTCCATCATACTTCGTAGGTTGTTCAAAAACCGAGAAAGATTGACTCGTGAGGAGCAGGCTGGTTTTCGTTCTAGTAAACGATGTATTAACCATATCTTCACCCTCCGCCAAATGTTAGAACACCATCATGCTTATCACACACCAACAGTTGCAGCGTTTCTTGACATCAAGGCTGCCTTCGATTCGTTGGACAGGACTGTTCTCTGGGATTGTTTATTGAAGAAGGGTGTGCCTGATGAGTTTATTAACATTTCAAAGGCCCTATATACAAACACCTCAGGCAGAGTGAGGGTATACAACCACCTCTTTCCATTGTTCCATTCAAGCAGTGGGTTAGGCAGGGTTGCCCAATCTCACCATTCCTCTTCAACTTTGCCATCGATGACATTCTGGAAACAGCTCTGATGGATGTAAGTAATGGCGGTGTGGATCTGTTGCCTGGAGAAAGACTTCTCGACCTTGAGTGTGCGGATGATATTTTTTTACTGTGCGATAATGCCCAAGCCATGCAATCCGCACTTAATTAGTTGGCAATGAATGTCCGTAGGTATGGTATGTGCTTCGCACCTTCTAAGTGCAAAAGTACTCCTACAAGACTGGTAGGACTCTGATTCAGCACTCACCCTGGGTAGTGAGCAAATAGAAATAGTCGAAAGTTCATGTGTCTGGGTAGCTGCATAAGTGCTGGTGGGGGTGTGAGTGATGAGATCAATGCACGTATAGTGAAAGCCAGAGCGGCTTATGCCAATCTGCGTCATCTTTGGCGCCTTCGTGATGTTAGTCTGGCTGTAAAAGGTCGGGTCTACAACGCGTCGGTGAGAGCAGTTCTGCTCTATGCTTGTGAAACCTGACCTCTCCGAGTTGAGGATGTTAGACGACTCTGTGTTTGATCATCACTATCTCCGAAGAATTGCTGACATCCAGTGGCAACACCATGTTAGTAATGCAGAGGTTCAGCATCATGTGTTCGGGCACAGAGATGATAATGCAATCGATGTCATCATCTTGAAACACCGACTTCGGTGGCTTGGACATGTTCTTCGAATAACGTCCCAGAGAATTCCACGTCGTGCATTATTTGCCGACTCTGGGACTGGTTGGAAGAAGCGGAGAGGTGGTCAGTGTACATGGTGTCGTGGTATGAAAGAAAGCTACAAAGGGCTAGCTTCTGTTGGTCCCTCACGACTCCCTGGTTGATTTCCTAGAGATGATGCAACAAAGTGACTTGCAACCTTATGAGACATGACTCAGATTAAAAGTCAGTGGCGATCCTGCTCTAACTTTATGTTACTTCGTAAAAGTAAGAGTAACTTGTTTAACTGAAAGAATTCTTTAGGGTTATATTTTTGCTAGCTGAACTGTTTCTCCGATTATTATTATTATTTCACTCTCATACACGAATTTCTGTTCGTTTTTTTATTATACCTACTTTACATTCTCTATCCCTTCATAACCCCATCGTTATTGTGTGCCGCGTATGTATTTGGTTGCACCTGGTATCAATGCTTATGTGTTCAAATAAATAAATAAAATCACTTACACATAGATAATGAAAGAAAGAGCAACTCTAGCCATGGTTTTATCTAGTTTATTGGCTTTTAAAATAGTGGCTCTGTACTTATATTTAATCATTGATAAACTTATATTTCCATCACTGCTGTAACCCAATCCTTTCTGCCTTTGTTTGCTTTAATTTTTCTATTGAGTTTATTTTGATCGACTCCTTATTATGACGGATTCTCCTAAGATCGTAGTAAAATGTTTTCAACTTTGATCTGCGAGTGAATTTTTCTCTATACTTACAATACTTCTTCCCGATTCTCTACGCAGCATAATGAATATAATGAGCAAATATTTTGAATTGTCTTATTGTTGTAGAGGTTAGCGCATAAATCCACTGATTTACTATAAGTCGAGTGTTCAAGGGTCAAGCGTTTAAAAGCCGTTGCTTTTATGATTTTTCTGTCTCAATAATTTTCTGGCTGCAAGCCTTAATGATTTGGGTTCAGATCTTCTAAGATGTATAAGCTTATTCCCGTTTATAGATGTACCTTATTGTAACCTTTTAGTAACAAATATGAAATACAAATTTAAGAATTGCTAAATCATCCAATTTTATTTTTTTATGCAACTTATGAATCTTCTTTTAAAAGCTCAGAGGACAGTAAAACCATTGGAACACGTTTTAGACTTATAGGAACATTGACTAGACAAGCTGCTAGTACATATAAAATAACTGAGTAACTAAATATAGGTTTATTTATTCAACTTTGACCCACTTTGAGGCTTAACAATACTACTGAAACTCTGAAACCAAATTCGGTGGAGTGAGGTTTGAACCTACGAGTCAGTGATTGAAAGTTGATTGCCTAAATCATAAAGCCATTGCTCACACCCATATATATCATAAACATTCTAAACTTTGGTTATTTTAGACGTGCTGGCGTCTTTTATTTGTATATTTCTGCTTCCTTTAAAGGTCGTGGACATCGTCTGTCACGCGAAATTGCATCTAACTGGCGTAGCTCAACTTCGAGCACAGCTAATGGTTCTGGTCCACTTACAATCAATGGTGTAACTATACCATCGAATTCTAATATTACTCATTTCTCTTCACTTATGGATTTACCTGATTATTACACTTCTGCCCGCCCAGAAAGTGGAGGTTTAGAGTTGAACATGTCTACTTCAGTGATGGAATCAAGTACAGCTATACGTCGACGAGCAGAGAAGGCTGCAGCTGAACAACGTAAAGCCGACTTAGAACTTTTGGAGGCAAGAAGACAACAACGAAAACTGAATTTCTTGATTACACAAACAGAATTATATGCCCATTTCATGGCGAAAAAGATGGCGGATGTCAACTCAGGTAATTGTAAATCTGAAGATATACGTGGTCCTGAAAATGCTGAATCAGTATCTGGTAATGTGATTCAAGAAGACGACAGTCAAGAAATCGAAGCTCAAAGAATCTTACGTCGACTTGAAGAAATGGATGATGATTCTGTAGAAACAAAAACTAACGATGAAGGAATTGATACTGGTTCTGACATATCTGTTCCATGTGATCCCATTCAGAATGATCAAGATTCTGTTGGTATATCGACTGGATCTACACACCGAAAATCATACAGCTCAATAGCTGTAGCTGCAAAAGCTGCAGCTTGTCGGTTGGGTATTAATGTTGAAGAAGAATATGGTTAGTTATGTTCATTATATAACCAATCACTACCATATTTTTTCTGTCCTGTGTATTCATACAAATTTACTTTGCTACAATTGGCAATAAACTTTGATTTTTCCAAGATCTAACTTTCATACATGATATTTAGTTGTTTCCTAGAATTTTAGGGAATTATTTGTCACATTCTTGCATAATACTCAGTCTTTCACTTATGCCCATAATCTATCACCTTTAAAGGTGGAATGTTGTTCAGATTGTGCATGTAACTCTTAATTTGTTAGTGTGGCTCAGCAATATTTGATGTTGTTTGTTTTCCCATTCTAGTTTTTATTTTGAAAATCACATTAGCACAGAGAGCATTGTCAGTGGACTGAAATAAAAAGTTAGAAATACTCGATTTTTAGAAAGTCACGTAGATTACGGGGTGTATTACAATATTTTTCAGCTTGCGCTTATCCCTGTATTTCTTTTACTAATGACGTCTTTATTCCAGAGTTAAATTACTGTTTAAAAGAAGTAACAAGACTAGTCGTATTAAACCTGTGTATTTCTTTTTATTACGCTACCATTTCAACCTGAACTACGCATACTCCTTTAAATTTTATTATGATAGGTTTTATCAAAGTATTAATCTCATTGTCTATATGTCGTTTGTGTAATCGAAGAGATTGAAAATCTTATTTAAAATGATTTCTAAATAGTCAAATTATTAACCTAAATTTCAGTTTCTGAACTATTGAAAAACAATGAGCACTGAACAGTTAGTACTATTCAATTTTAAATGTCCCACTATTGTGCACTCACGACCCCACCAGGAACTTCTGGTTTCGTGACAGAAAAAATTGTCTTAGCTCAATAAATTAGTATCCAGTAGTCCAAATCTTCAGCTTTACTGATTTTTGACACAACGTAGTCCCCGTCTGGGGACACTGATGAGTTACTTCATCGCTTCCGGCACAGTTTACTTCATACATTACGGCTTTTGATTAATATTTCAAGATACTCATTTTGATATCAGGCACTGATGCATATACCAGCTGTCTAGTGCTCTTCCGTTTTGATAGTCCTACTGAAGTCAGTTCATGATGGCATTAACTGTTCACTGTCTCCAGAAACTACGAAAATTCTCTTTAGCGTGCTGATATTTCCATTTATCCTTCTTTATTTTAGATATTGAACAAGCGAAATCCGAAGCTTTAATGAAGGTCAAAGCAGCTGTTACAACTGAACGTAATCGTGTATGTATGAATCATTATCTCTAGATAAACATTTTCCTTCTTATTATTATTACTATTATTATTGTAGTGAAAGCGAACACAAGTGGGGACAATCGAATGTATTTGAATGAAAAAATTACAGAACATAGTAAAATGTGATAACCATACAGTAAATACTTCATTTGCAAAATGTCAGTCAATTATCTCAAACTTGACTGTTCCTTTTGCAAACGTCGGTCAATCATCTCAGACTTCATTGTTCCTTCATTTCCAGACCAATCATTCTTTGTTCTTGTTCTCTTTTCTTCGTTCTTCTTAACATTCTGCCGTCAGACATTCCACTTTCGATTGATGATACATACTACCTATATCTGTCGATATCAGTATCACACCACATTATCATTATTGTTATTAATCATTGTTATAGTAACAGTAATGTCTTATTAGTTAATTAGTAATAGTTAATATGTTATAGTTGTTGATTTCCTTACATCTTACTAGTTCGGAACAAAAGCACATGTCCAGTTAAGATCTGGAGGAAATTAAAAAAGATCTCTGATCATTCTGCACTCCATACTTGTTGAGATTTATCAATGAAACATATCTTCAGTTTTAATTAAAATTATGTTTTATAACCTGAAAGAGAGAATGATACCATCCTTAGTTTCTGCAACTATAAACACTATTACTGTGCTGTGTTAGCACTGACTGTTTTCTGCCTTAGAATCCGAATGTGCACATGAATTCGTGGTATAATCGTTTGTGTTTAAATTTGGTAATCATATAAAGAGCCTTGATCGTAACTTCCACCAACACTGAGAATCCAAATTTTGAATTTTCAGAGAGCCAGTCAATGCTGAACAACTTAGGACATAGTTAAAACATATGTAGTCATACTTTACATCAAAGTATCGAGGGATAATTAAACAGATGGTAGTTCTTAAATAAATTAATTAATTAGTAAAATGAAGGCCAGACTCATGCTTAATTCTTATCCGCTAAATTTGACTGAATCGACGGTATGATCTTCATTACAAGACTTGAAGGTCACGGATCCAATTTTATTTGATGTTCAGGATGCAAACTACTGGAGGTAAGTCTTGGTATAGAAGTGAAAAAGTATCCAGTTCTTCCATGGTTTTCTATGATTTTTTTATCTAATCTTAGTTTTTTATTGACAATTATTTTCTATTTCCAACAATTTTAGTTATCACAGTTTCATAGTGGAACTACAACAAATCCCAATTTAAACGCCCCTGTTCATAATAATACAGATTCTAGTACAACTACACAAATTGAAACACCAAAGTTATTTAAAGGTCAGTTAAAAGCTTACCAGGTCCGTGGTTTGAACTGGCTGCTTGGTTTGTTCGATCAAGGTATCAATGGGATATTAGCTGATGAAATGGGCCTAGGGAAAACTGTGCAAACAGTTGCATTTCTTGGTTGCCTGGCGGAAGTAAGTTTCTAAAATTTGTTATATGTAGGATATCTTTACTGTGTATCATAACATTCGTTAAGTGAAGCTGTCGATTTCCTTCCTAATGAATCGATGACATATTGGACGAAACTGTGTACTTAGTTAATTACACCTACTATCCCTCAAGGCACAGGCCGTCTATCAGGGATCTCCATGCGTCTCTGTTTCAGGCTGTTTTTTCCAGTTGTTGCCATGTGATATTTAAGGTCCTAATGTCTACCTACAGTTCCCAGCCCCATGTGGTTTTTAGTCTCTCCCCTTTTTATTTTCGGCTTGATGATTCCAACGTGCTTTGTAATGCAGTTTGGGGGGTTCTGAAAGGTGTTTCCTATCTATTCCAAGCTTTTTTAATTTCCTCCCTGGACGATAGCTGGGTTTTTGACACTATATTATTGCTGATGCTCTGTGACCAACTGCTCTGGAGTCTCTTGCGTAGGCAGCTATTTTTCGACACATACTTTTTGGTGATGGTAATGATAATTCTCCAAATTTCAGCACCTTATATTAAAACTTTTAACACTAATGTTAGAAATGCTAAATGTGGTCTCGAGTGAGAGCTTTTTTAGTTCCAAATATTTCTCAACTGTAGGAATGTTGTCCTTACTTTGTTGATTCGTACCTTGATATCTGCCTCAGATCCTCCTTGTTTATTAATGATACTGGCCAGATACATGAAGGATTCCACTTCTTTCAAAGCTTTGTCATGAAGTGTAGCTTGGTGAGTACTTGTTGTGCTATTCTTCAGAATCTTGCTTTTTCCCTCGTGAATGTCCAATGTTTTCTCATAACAAAGCAAGTTACTGCATTTTGGGGATGCTAGATCCCCAGAAATCACTTGGCAAACGCCTTGTTTTCGTAATTTTATTTTGGAAATTCAAATTTCTCGTTTTCGCGCCAAAAGCACCCATTCCTGTTTGAAGACTGTATTTCCAACTTGAAAGGACCCTAAATGTCATTGGTTCGTTCCCTTTTAATATACTATTTTGTGACGTTGGTCAAGGTCACTTTTATGCTGTATATATACGCTTGAGTTATGTGCTTGTTGTTGTTCGTGCTTGTGGAATATACCTTTCCTTTATTTGAACCGGGTCTTCTCCCTCAAGTTAGCAGGGCTGGGACGTATCGGAATAGTTTAGCTTGTCTTGTCGTTACGTTTCTGATCATTCGTTCCATTTGCCGATTTTAGGTGATTTCGTAATCTATTCAAACATAGCAGTGTATTGGGATGAGTTCCATTCGTGTGGCTGGGCTACAGTAATTAAGTGTGACAATTTGATCGGTAAGTGATCGATCTTTATGGAAGCCATCTTGTTGATCTATAAGTTAGGCATCTGCTGTATCACTTGTTCGGTTCAGCAACACTGTCGTAAACGTTGTTTGGTGCTGACACTAATGTAATCTCCCCGTAGTTTTCAAACTCGCGAAAATCTCCTTTCTTCGATGTCCTAACGAGATGTTTGATTTTTTCTTCTGTTCACACGTGTCCTTCTTCCGAAATCTTCCTGAATAGATCACAGAACATCCTTCAGTTAATTCGTTGCATGACTTCAGTGCTTCAGATGGTATATTGTCTGGTGCAGCCACGTTGCCGTCCCTGATTTGTTTGGTGGTCCTACCAAGTTCCATTGTTGGCGGAGTGCTATCTACATGGAGGTCTCTGTGTTGCTTCCATTTTCAGTGGGTTTAGTGGCTGTGGTCTATTCAGGAGCTCTTTAAAATGTTCTACCCACCTATCCCGTTATCTTGAACCTGACTGTTTGCTTTGCCTTCTTTGTTCTTTGACTGGTCGCTCTGGTTGACTGTATTTCCCTTGGTTGTATCACACAGTTCTTTCGATTTCCTTCTCCTTCAGCTTTTTCCGCCGTAGTACCCGAGTCTTTTACATCTTCCCTCTTGTCAGCCTTAATTCTTCTCTTCACTCATTTCTTTGCTTCCGGATATTCGATCTGTGCCTTGGTTTTCTCTGCTTTTTTCGGGTGTTTTTGACTTCTGTATTTTTGTTTCTCTCATTTTGAATCTTGCCTAGGGTATCAATACAGATCCACTCTTTATCCTGGTACTTCTTGCGGCCCAGCACCTCCTAGCATGTTGAACTTACTGTTTCTTAACTTCTTTCCCACTGTTTCCCATAGTGTTTTCTTCTTCTGGTAGATCTTGTAAGACTTGGATTTTGGTGTTGACAGCTATCTCGAATTCGTTGAGTATGTCAGTATCTCGACGGGGCGTTGTATTGAACTTTTAAGTATTGCTTTCCCGATTGTTCTATGCTTTTTTAGCTTCAGTCTTATGTTGGCTACCACCAAGTAGTAATCTGAAGCTATATTAACTCCCTTCTTTTTTTTGAAGTCTTCCATGAGCTCTCTGAATTTTTTATTCATGTAAATGTGATCAATTTTAGGGTTTGGAGAAGCTCATGGAGCTTCGTGTATGCATTTGTAGGGGAAAATGGTTCTATTTTGTTGAACATTCTTGTTTCTTCCGGTCCATGTCGTCCTATGCCATCTTCATACCCGGTGTTGTCCATACCGACCGTAGTATTCAGGTTTCCCATCAGGATCGTCAGGTCTCTTTATGACATTTCTCTAGAATGGACTGCTGTCTCCTATAAAACTGGTCTTTATCTCCTTTGATGCTACCATTGGTGTATACGTAGTATCGTATGATATTCATTGCAATTCTTTACTTCTTTACTTTAAAGGATGCTTTGATGATCCTAAAGCCGTCAAATCCTCATAATACAAGGTCATTTTGTGCGTCGTAGAGCATCAGTAAAACTCATTCCTCGTGACCAGAATGTAATAACATTTCTCTTGAGGCCAGTCTTTTTCGTTCAGCTTATGTCCAATGGGCTTTACTTGTTCCAAGCACGGCCAGGTTGTATGTCTCCATTTCTAGGGCTACTTAAAATGACCTTCCCGTCTCACATTGTTTGAACATTCCATATCCTATATTTATTATCGCCCTGTTTTTCTGAAGGAGTGTCGGTCTAGTGGCGCCGCTCATCCGAGTATGTGCAGACTCATTGATGCTCTAAAAAGGAACATAATGTAGATGAGTGAAACCAGCTTTCACCATGAAACGTGATGACTTACATGTAAAGAACTTTCTCCTCCTAGGGAAGAGATCATTTAGTTTTCTCTGGTTCGAAATTCTGTACCAGGATTTCTACGAAGTGTGGTTGTTAGTCACGCGCACAATCCTCCTCGTTTACCTGGGTTTGGAACTAGCTGTAGCTCTAAGGGAGATTCAAAAGGATCTTAGTAAAGCAGTTTGATACTTCAGTTGTTAGCGGGACATAGATTGTGTTGGTGCACATTGATTGGTTGATTCTTATCCAGTCAGCGCTAGTTGATACTTGGAGAAAACTCTAGAATCTTCTTATGTAAAATCTATAAATATACTAACGTTTTTCTTATTGTGCTTCTCACTACCCTTGTTATTTAGAAAATAGTTCCTTTTTTGTTCAACCGTGTTCTGATTTCGGGACTTGTCGAGTGAATTGGTGTTCAAGAATATTAAGCAGTATTCGATACTGAAGATATTTTTGATCATCATTCTTCAGGCTTGTGATTTTTACTGACTGCGAATTTCACTTTAACTAGTTCTAGTTTTTCTTTTTCAATTTTCTTTAAAGAATTACAACATTTGGGGTCCATTTTTAATCGTTACTCCAGCTTCAACACTGCATAATTGGACACAGGAATTTGCTAAATTCCTTCCAGCTTTCCGTCTAGTCCCTTATTGGGGTACACCAACAGAGCGTAAAGTTCTACGCCGATTTTGGTCATCTACACGTTCCTCTAATGCAGAATCTTTTGATGAATCTGGTGATATTAATCCTGGACAAGCTGGAACTAAGGATTCTCAACTTCATGTAGTTATAACTAGTTATCAAGTTGTTTTGCAAGATGCGAAATTCATTAATAAAACCGCATGGTCCTACATTGTTTTAGATGAAGCACATGCTATTAAAAGTACATCAAGGTATGTTGGTCGAATTAATTTTGAATTTTTCCTTCGGTCGTTGATTTAAATCATCAAACTCTCTTTTCTGCCGTAGTAAACAGCTAGTAATCTCTTTTTTCTGTATTACGTTCACTTAATAATAGTTGCTTCAACTTATTCTCAGTCGTTAATTGTGTAGTTTTACCAAAAAAGATAACAGTCCACTTATGATAGATGAAAATATTTCAATGGAATTTCTTGCTACAACCCGAGTGAATTGAATATATGATAAGGTTTCCAGTCTTTAATTGGACTCGTATATTTATTTTATAAATTGACTGGGATTAGAAGTGTTCGTCAAAGATTAACATTGTATTCTTGTATATTCTTTCATGTTTGTTTAGTCATGACCTTAATGTTTTGCGTTGTGTGGTTTAATCGTCTATAGTACAAGTACGTGTATGACTTTTTGTTATGAAAATATCAACAAACAAAAGTGTATTTTGCATAAGTTAAAGAAATACCTCAAAACAATTAAAACAGTTCTAATTTTTATCATCTTAATTTACTTATGTGTATCCATACTTATTCTGATACCTGGAAGTAAGTTAGTTGGATACGTTGATTAGTAAAATAGAGTTGTACTTTACTGAAATGAAATAAGCCCTAACATTTATTTGGCGCTGTTGAATTACTTTGTTTCATCATTATTAAGCATGTAAGTTGTCTGTTTACATTACCTCAAGTTTTTTTTGTACTGAACTTCGTAGTGTAAATCTTATTTTTATTAGCCCAATCAAAAATCTAGAGTAATCGGAAAGACTTACCTTGAAAATCAGTCAATCCAATGTTGAAGATATTTTATGTATTAAAATAACTTAAAAAAACTACAAATAGATTGTCGTTATGTAAATTTCAAGTCCTTTTTTGTTTCTTCCTAGCTTACGATGGAAAATTCTGTTATCTTTTAAATGTCGAAATCGTCTTTTACTCACTGGAACTCCCATTCAGAATACAATGCAAGAAGTGAGTACAATAATAGTGACTAATATTGTAGCTTGTTCATGTAGTCCAGTTTGAACATATCTAGCATTACAGAGTGATATTTATTAATGAAGCTCTGAATGTAAGATATAATTAGGTAGTTAGTGCTATTCTACTATGTTAATCGTTTCTCTACCTACGGGATTCAAATGTACTTTTATAGTTTGTTGTGTCCTTGCGCTTGACTTTAATAGTGAACATTTTCAGTCGATTATGTTTCAGTACGGCTATCGAAAGTTTGTCTTTACTTCTCTACTTTGATGAATCTTATGAAAATTTCTTATGTCACTTCTTGCCAAAGTTTGTAATAACCGATGTATTCACATCGACTATAAAATCAGGTCTTGGGTTGGATCTTGAAAAGTATTGATTCTACCCTATAAAAAGCCTCTTAAACTGAGATACAATGAGTGTTATGACCTTCACTTCTTTATGTATTCACTCGTCGTATCACGAGATTATAAAATCCACTAATTACGAGTACCTGTCGTGTTTATCAGACCAATGTTTTTAATTTACATACAACTGAGTCATAAGCGATATAAGAACTGAACAATAGGTGGATAATAAATTAACGAACGGCAAAAACATATAACCGTAATCAATAGGTCAAATGAAAGCCTACAATTAAGAAAGCGTGAAAAACAGAATATTTTCAGTGCAATCAAAATTAAAATAGGTCAGATCATATTAATGACATATTGATTCGGTCAAAGTGATTTTTGTTTGAGATCTACCTGTATTTATGTCTGGATGTTGGTGGATATGAAACATGTGATATTCGTAATGTTGAAGAGTAGTGTAAGAAATATTTGTATGCTTGATAGTGCCCCCAAATACCCTGGTATGGCTGAGGGTGGAGAGAGTTAGCTCTCCTTCTCGAAATGGACTCTCATGGCCGCGCGTATACAGCCTCTGTCAGGGAAGTCCTATTCACTGCCTCCTCGCAGCGGGGATTTTGCTTACGAAATTGAGAGGACGAAAAGCGAATGTCTGGAGCTTTAACGGAGTTGGTGGATATGGAGAATCCACCTAGGGGAGTTGGAAAACCCTGATTCCAAACCAGTAGTGCACATAGACTCCAGGATCCTGAGGGAACAAATGGCGTATGGGACTGCATCTCATAACGTTGCTGCACTGCCTTGTGGATCAAACCTTTAGGTTGAAGGCTTCGGGTGTGGCCCTCTAATTAAACCACCTGCTTCGGTCTGGGCGCCGAGGCAGTGTCATAACCCACACAAATCAAGTGACTTGTGTAGCGCATATGTATTCGGTGCCCCCTTGTATCAATATTTATATGTTCAAATAAATAAATAATACTTGATAGTGGTGTGAGATGTGAAAAGGATTAAATGTGTAAATATTCGAATGAAGTAACTATCACTATGGTTTTAGCACAACAGAAGAATTACAACAAATTCTTTGATCAAACAGAGTTAAAAGCATCATATAAAACGATTAACACTACAAAATGCTTTAGTCCAAATAAAAAAAATAAAACCCTCTTTACCTGGATACAGAATTGTGTCTACAGATTGTGATTTGTAAATTCTGATGGATTCTATATTAGAGTCGTCTCGTGAAATCGCAACTCGTGCAAAAAAACATCTAAGCTACACTAAAAGACCTCCAAATAATCCAGTAAGACAAGAAAATCTACAAATCAAATTAGTAACACCAGTACATGCTATACTTAACAACCATCTGATCAATAATAATATCGAAATAATTCAAAAATGTTTTCCCAATCAAAGGTGATTTTCTGAAGCTTTGTGTCTTACTACCAAACACAACCGCGCTTAATAGAAAGGAAAGTCTAACGATCCATCCACCATGGACCATTTATTTAAATATCCATACATCTGCATAGGAGTAACATGACAGTGATTTTTACAGTTTCTTTAAAATTAGAAATTTTTCATGCTATTTCGTCCAATAAAATGAATAGCTTTAAAAAGGATAAGGGAATAATTCCTTCAATTTTTGCATTTCCTCCAAATTATGAACGTCAATAACTTACTAAGCATTAGCCATGTAGTTCCGAACGTTGTTACAGACACTGAGTATGTTTTCTTGACTGAGTTGTATCTGGTAGCGTTTTAATCGCTTGAAGCTTTGAAGAACACTATTAGAGATTATGAAAGAGTATTTTAATGTCACTTTGCTACCACGAATTATTGTCGTGACGTAGATAAATCGCATTCTTGATTATAATGCACATTCCGATGAATAATAGTTCATTAACCTTCAACAAACCTACAATAATTGAAAGATGGACATTAAGTACTTATTGCAGCTCTTCAGGAAACAATATTATAAAACTAGTCAACTTACCTCCTTTATTGAACAGAATTGTCATATCTTTTGCCTGCATATTTAATCTATGGTTTCTGGTTCCTATAAAGCTGAGACTCACAAATTGGGAATTCCACGGCTCATTATGGATATAATATCATTCCTTACCATTATGTTCAGGAACGACCTGCTGAATTTTATGTTAGAAGCTCCACTATAATATTGACCAATAATGAATTGATCTAAACCTTTATCCACTTGATAATAATAATAATAATGATTGTTTTATAGCTCATATCGACCAAATCGTTTATTACTTGTCACAAAAATTATCAGTAATTGGTGTAGTACTTGTTTGAAGTTATTATTTTTATAATTTGTGGTTTTCAGTTGTCTCCAGTTGATATCAATCTATGATAAACATAACCTTCAAATAAACCCTCATCAGTCGTTAAATTAAATAATGCTTTTGTTGTAAATAGCATTTCAAATTTCTGACTCATAATTGAAGTTGAATAACATACTTATAATAGCTTCATTCGAAGTAAAACTCCAACAATAAAAGCTTATGTAGGCTGGTGTACGAAGCCTTACATCATATGTATTATGTTATATAATTAATTAAACTATGTAATGATCTTGAGTTGTCAAATGTAAAATTTTTAAATCATTACATTATACATCCATTAAAACTAAGCCAGCCATATTTCACAAATAAGGATATCTTAGTTAAAAGCTTTTTAATACTTATTAACTAATTAATTATTGTCCATCAGTTTTTATTTCATTATTTTGATATAATTTATATTGTCTAACTCTATTTTGTTTTATATTCATTCATTTATTCAGTTATGGGCATTATTACATTTTATTATGCCTACATTATTTGATTCACATGATGAATTTGCTAATTGGTTTTCACGTGATATTGAGTCTCAAGCCAGTGTTACAGCTAGAACTGGTGGTGGGGGAGCAGCGGGAGGAGGAAGTATCATTAGTAGCAGTGGAACTGGATCTTTAATAACTTCAAAATTGAATGAAAATCAATTGTCACGTTTACATTTAATTTTAAAACCATTCATGTTACGTAGAACAAAAACTGAAGTTGAACATGAGATATCTACTAAGGTGAGCTTGATCTCTCATTTATTCACTATATTTAGCGTAATTGTTTATTTGTAGTGATCATTTAAACAATATTTAGCTCGTTTTATTACTTCTGATTTCTCTGTCCTTTGGTTACTGTTCATTGTCAAGCTAAGAAGCCTAAAGGAATCTAACCTTACGTTGAAAGATTCATGGAGTCAGTCATTCAGTCAGCTACAACGTAGGACCAGGCACATATGTGCATCGGTCCAGGTTGCCATACCGCATCAGCACAACAAGATGAACACCGGATTCATAGCAGTGGTTAGGTAAAAGGTAGTAATATGTAAGAGCAAGATTGCATATAGAGATAGAAAGAATTGGTTCGTAGAAAGAAAGATATGAAGCGATTTTAATCTCTTAGTTTAAGGGAAGACAGGGAGTGTATACACCGACGCCATTGTGATCGATTCTGAGCCATGTCACCAAGAGTCTCCAACCATTGGTTACGATAGTCACGCGGACCCCAACCAAGTAGTCTGCATCTACCAACATGGCTCAGACTAGAAGTTAGTGACTTAAAGCACTGATACCACGTTTTGGTTTGGCCGCCTCTTACTTTCTTCCAACCATCTCCAGCACGTCGTGGTAATCGGTGTTCAGGCATACGTAACACGTGGCCCAACAATCTCAGTCGATGAAGATTCACAACCTCATCAACTGATTTACCATCATTCCCTAATACCCTGCGTCTAATCTCACTATTACTTCCCCGGTGATCCCAGTAGATGTGAGCAATATTTCTAAGGCATCTGTGGTCAAATACTAGTAGCTTACGAGTGTCTCCTACTATTAATGGCCATGTTTCACTGCTGTAAATTAAAACAGAACGGACTGCCGCTCAGTATACTCGTTCTTTTATTGATAGACGGATATCTCGCTTTCGCCATAGGTGACGTAAGTCGGCGAAAGCCAAACGAGCTTTTCGAATCCGTGCTGAGATTTCGTCAGACACCAACCCATTAGGGCTGATCAGACTTCCAAGATAAGTAAAGTTGCCAACGCGTTCGACTACTTTACTCCCTATCCTTAGTTCAGGTGTTGACGCAGACCAGTCCTGAAGCAACAACTTGCATTTAGAGGGAGAGAAGCGCATTCCAAGCATTCTGGCATTGTTGCTCAGTGATACCAAAAGACTCTGCATTTTATCAGCGTCTTCAAACAGGATTATGTCTTCTGCGTATTCTAAGTCGATAAGTGGACCTCCTGGTAGGAGATCAATACCCGAGAATTCAGTCGACGAGAATGTTATTTCCATCAATAGGTCGATGATGAAGTTAAACAAAAATGGAAAAAGTAGACAGCCTTGACGGACATCACTTGAGGTTGCAAAAGCAGACGACAGTTCGCCATAAGCTCTGACTCGACTAGTAGTGTTCGAGTAAAGAGCCTTCACAAGGTTTATGTATTTCTGAGGTACGCCTTTCAGTGACAGACACTGACACAGAATCTCGCGGTCTGCGGAGTCAAATGCTTCTTTTAAGCCAAGAAAGACCATCATTGTCGGACACCGATAAGTATGCCTGTGTTCTAAAACCTGACAAATGGTGAGTGTGTGGTCGATGCAGCCACAACCAGGTCTGAAGCCAGCTTGATTCTCTTGTGTTTGCAGTTCACGAGTCTTAGTTAGGCGTCCGATAATTATCGAGGCTAGTATTTTAGATACTATATTAGTTAAACTAATCCCTCTGTGGTTGTCACAGGATAATTTTAACCCTCTCTTATATATTGGGACGATAAGTGATTGTGACCAGTCAGATGGGATAACGTCCAACTCCCAGATCTTAGATAAAATATTAGTCAACCTAATCGCTAAAATTGGACCACCATCCTTAAAGACCTCTGGAGCCAATCCATCTGGACCAGCTGCCCTTCCTCGTTTCAGATTAACTATAGCCTTTTGAACTTCTGCTAGAGTTGGGTGACCTACTTCAATGTTCCATTCACACTGTCTGGGAATGGAGGGTAGTTGTAGAGTCGCTGAAGGCCAGTTGAACTGTTCTCTGAAATGTTCCGCCCATCGTTCTAAACGTCTGGACTGGGAGCAGATGAGAGTATCGTCTTTTTCCGAAATAGTCTGACTTACACTTGACTTATTAATTCCAGTTTCTTTTATTAGTCTGTAGAGCTGTCTTGTGTTCCCTATAGCCGCCGCCTTTTCCATCTCTTTTGCTTTCGTTGCCCACCACTGCTCACTGTCGTTTCTTAGACTTTTTCTTAACCTTGATCTGATTTGTTTTCGCTCTTCATTATGTTCGGAACCTGATGGGACGAGTTTGCGAGAATCCATCAGTGTGATAGACTTTGAAGAAATCCACTGGTTCTTTGAAACTCTGTGGTTTAAGTCGCTAATAGATATCACTGCTGCTTCCACAGCTGCTTGTGTTTCATTCCAAGCAACATCTGGGTCAGCCTCGTCTTCTGAACTACCTAATTGTGACCTCAGTTGTTCCTGGAACCTACTTTTGGTTTTCTCGCTACTCAATTCAGTTCTAATGGGTCTTTTCACTGAGGCTTTCTTGCGTCCAGTGAGGCGCAAGCAGATGCGTGCCCGTATTAGGGCATGGTCGGAGTCCAAGCAGGTACTCCAGAATAAGCGACAATCTTGTACTGACCCTCTACAACGATGACTGATTGCAATATGGTCTATTTGAGTCCATCGTTGGTTTGGTGTAGGGGGTCGCCATGTTAGATGATGTCTCTCCTTATGCTTAAAATTTGTGTTTGCTAAAAATAAGCGGTTGTCTGAGCACAGTTGCAGCAGATGGTCACCATTATCTGTTCGCTGTGCCGGAATGCTAAAATATCCACCTAAATGCCTTTCTGTTTGGTTTAAGCTACCTATCTGAGCATTAAAGTCACCTGCTACGAGTACTTTGTCTGAACGTGTAGCTTTCTGTAAAATTCATCTTTCACATCATCTGAGCTACAGTCAGTGGGAGAGTAGGCAGAAACGACAAAAGGCAACGACGTGTGTCCCTATCCTTCCGAGTTTTTACGGAGCCGTTCAGCCGAACAGCACATAGACGACTGTTGACGGGGATCCACTCTAGCAGTGCTTGTTCGGCCCTCATGCTTAGTGCTATGCCTACACCTGCCAGTCCACGAGAACTGGCCATCGGGTCACCAGATACACGGAGGGTGTATCTCGTTGGCTCTCCGTTTTGCCGAGGTGAGGTCAAGTGAATGACCACACTGGAATCCTGTATGCGTGTTTCGGTGACACAGCATACATCAATGGAAAGATACTCTAGGGTCCTAGCCAAGGAAGCCTACTGACCGATTTGACATAGAGTGCGTACGTTGAAAGCTCCAATGTGTAGTTTGGAGTGAGGTTTCAGTAGACCTGGGACAGAGTTTTGAGCACTAGAATCGTTGGATATGGTGACACTTGAAGAGGAAGCCGAAGGAGGAAGTTTAGGGTTGAAAGTCGATGTAGGAGGAATAATAGGAATTGAAGAGGGAGGTTGATTATGAATACAGTGGTCTTGAGGTATGAGGGCGGTTATCACTTCCCGGTTGCCCACACTGTGGAAGGGTTCTTCTGGAGGTATCTGAAAAGGAAATTGGATTAGAGGCGGTCTCAGTGACCTGAGAGCGTGACCGCAGTGCCCAAGGGACAACTGCTTGAGGCCGGTCGCGCACGGCCTTTTCGTGGGAGGTTTTTGACGTGTTAGCTCCGTTCTTCTAAAGGTCTAACCGGCGTAGACGGAAATCCGTGAAGTAAGGTGAGGTGCGCATTTTTAGGGTCGACCTTTTCTGACCCCACCCCTCCTTGTGGGAAGGTAGCATCGCTGTCATGCTGGTTGTCTGAAGGAAACACCTTACTGCTGTCACACCTCTGTACAGTCAGCAGTACGACTTCGCCTTCGGACCTTGGGTTTGTTGCTTTTAGTCTTACCGCTCTTCAACCGACCTGTCTGACATGGTAGGACCTTGAGGAACGGTCGTTCCAGCCAGTATAGCTCGGTTGCTTCATCACGATAGGCAAGCCCGGCCACCACGTCAAGGTAGCAACAACGGTCGGGAAGATTCATGGATGCATTAGTCAACTCAGTTTCGACCTTAGCTATGTAGAGTTTTGAAATTTCTTTTCTTTTTTTCAATCACATTGTTCAGTACGATAAATTAAATGCACAGTTCTATTTATAAAACTGTAGCTTCAAGATTGAGTTCATTGGGGCTAGAAATGGAATGGTGATTTTAGAGTAATCATTTGTAATTTGACATCATAATTAATGTATGAGGCATTGGAACTAAAACAAACAGTAATAGTATTAATCATGGCTTTTTCATTGTATCTCTTAATAAGCAATTTTATATATTAGAACATAATTATATGAACGAAGAATATTCTTTTCAATGAATTTCTCATCAGGTTCTACACTTCATAAATCCAAATTAATAATCCGTAAAATTGACCAGATTTAAAGCAGATTACATCATTTAAAATTGTAACATGTGAAGTAAGGATTGTTTTTGATATAAAAAGAAAAGAAAATTGTTAATGTTTGGCTAATAATGTATTCGTTTCTGTATCTATTGTTAGTTATTATTGAATTAACAACTCATCATTTAACGTATAATAACTATTACATGCTATTCTTTTTAATTTATTAATTTAAGAATGTTTATATTGTAAATCCTACTATATATACAATTTTATAGTTCATTTACTACTCATTAGTTAATCATGTTTGAATATGAATGTAGAATTTAATTTGATGTTAACGGTTACGACATCAATCCTTTATATATTCAGTTGTTTTAAACTACGATTCTCAATATATACTAGAGGTAGGATAATGCTAACTGAAAATTACTTTTAATTGATATGTAATGCACTCGATTGAATTTCTGTTTCAGTTAATAAGTTGTCGAATCGCAACTATATAACCTAATGTTATTTACATTTTTTACAGAACCTATTGAGTAATTCTTATCAGTTTCAATATTGACTAACCGCTAATCCCTTCTGTTTATTTCTTCTTTTTTTGGAAAATAAATAAATAAATATGTAGACTGAGATTATGTTATATTGTCCATTAAGTCATCGACAACAAATATTGTATGAACGATTACGTAGTAAGATTCGTCTTGAAGATCTTAGCTCCATCATGTCTGCGAATGGAATATCAGATAGTTTTTCATCGAATTTGGATAATACTAATGCATTGTCATCGTCTTCGTCAGCTACAGCCCATTTAATTAATTTAGTGATGCAGTTAAGAAAAGTATGCAATCATCCAGATTTATGGGAACGTCGTGATGTTCGTTTCTCTTGTATAACTGGTCAAATGGAACCGAATAGTTGTCGATTCTATAATTCAGATATTAAGTATAATGCTTACAATAACAATCGTAATCAATATGCAATGTGGAGGCTTCCAAATTTACTGTACGAAGATGGTATGTAAAACAGTTCTTACTTTTAGTCATATGCATAACCCATTGTATTTTAATCATCTCTCATTAATAATTATTTGCACTTTTTAGTCCCCAATATTCCTTAAATAGTTCAGTTTTATGAATTGTTCAGCTGTCTGATTTAAATTTGTTTAGATTTATTTATCTCTAGCTTCAATGTCCTTAAAAAGTAGACATTTGTCCCATGCATGATCTTTCCACTTGCCTGTGAGTGTCATTTGTTAGTAGCGATTATTCATTAATTATTGATATCATTTGTATAATTTGGTTATTTTTGCCGTAGATATCATTAACTCTGATCTCCACTAAAATATTTTTTAGACCGTGAGATTTAATTTACTTTATACCTTTCTTTCTATGAACTAATTCTTTCTCCCCGTATCATATCCTTACATGCAATCTTCTTTTGTATATTACTACCATTGACGTAATTGATTCTGTGAATTTGATGTTCACTTTGTTGTGCAACTTGGACCTATCTATGTCTGTACCTGTTCCTACGTTGTAGATGACTGACTGACTACACTAATTTCCAACAGAGAAATCTTGTAATCATTGAAGTAAATGGCATTAATATCGATAAAAAAATCCCATAGTTTATGAATAATTAGTGGGTCAATTCTTAGCTGAGTCAATATATCCTTGTTAACTAGTAGGATTAAAGTGATTTAGATAGTTCAGTTATTCGAAAGTTATATTTTTGATGGAGCAATGGCTTAGTGCTTAGTGTTCAACTTTCAGCCACTTAGTCCCAGGTTCGAATCCTGATCCACTTAATTTGGTCTGTGTAGTATTATTAGTCCTCACATTTAGAGTGTAACTGGTTGATTAGTTCATTAAAGAACTACAGCCACATATTTGATGGTAAATACACCCATTCTTCAGTTTGTATTCATTTTTTAAAAAGAGTTTCACTGTTCGTCTGTTTGGAAGACGTTCATTACGTTATGCTGTAATATTAATCATCTATATGAATAAAAATTCCCCTTTTTGGAGAAAATTAATGTTTTAAAAGATTGTTTTGATCACTGTAACTGTCATAATTTATGATTGATTATTAGTGCTTACCTATAATCTTCAAATGAGATCGACTCCTTAAACTTTACGTCAGTTTTAAATATAGTATATTTTCAAATGATCCAAAACTCTATAAATTGTCATTTTAAAAAGGATAGTTCCGTTTTTCTTCAACTCTTCTATTTTGTAGACGCTTTGTCATTATTTAGTTGGAGAGCTAAAAGTTTGAACAGTCTATTTTCTCTATGTCCGGTATCTTTATATGACTGTTATTCAATATGTTTAATTATCATTATTGCAAAATATTTCTATCTTCATCATCCTTGTTATATACATGAGGACTTATGGCATCATGACAATGAGGAACCAGATTTAGGACCAAGCTGTATAGTGAATCAAAATAGGCCATGTACAAATTACCCATCTAAATGTAAGTGATAATTTTTAAGGATTGTATTTCATAAACCGAATAACTTTTAATTTAAGCTTGTTAGTCTATACGTCTAGTTAGTAACTTATATTTGTGCTCTCAATGTAATTGTATCAGTTTCCTAAGCATCATTATGTTGGTTTAGCTGAATGGTTGAGTTACTTCAATTGAAACTGTGAGGTTATCGTTGTAATTTATTCTTTTGGGGACTAAATAATGCAATACGACTAACTTTTCATATGATAGGTCAGATTTATAGCTTTTCAATAAAATGTTTCTGCTTAATATCGCACAATATTTTCTCACATTGTCAGTCATAGTCAGCATAGGATCTGGTGTTGAATGTGCATCAACATAATTTTCTACACCACATCACCATAGAGTACTGCCTATTTATGAATTTAAAACATCGTTTTCATCCTTCTTATGAATGAATTTATTAACATAATCAATCTGACATTGACTACTACTAGTAGTATCAAACTGACGATGTTTTGCAGATAAAATAGACTGTATTTTATTCAGAACCAGTACTAGGTAGTAGGTAAACGTTTTTATGAAGTTGACTTGTGTGTTCTCGTAAAACGTATTTCTTCTCATGCCTATTGTTGTGTCCTTATAACCCGGTAATATATGGCGTGACTAGATCGCCAATTAGAAACACCGACTTATATGACCAGACCAATGACGGATGAACCAGTACGAGCAGCCTAGATTCAACCCTGAGTTCTTATTGGACCTCCGAGGTAGTAGCTTCTCACCTAACCAAGACTGTTTGAGTTCAGAACACCGTTTCTACTGTATGAATCATGTATTTCAGACATACTTGGTTTATATACAAACAAACCTGACCGTATCATACCATAAAATGGAAAATAACAATCATACAAAATCAAGCCAAAAAGTGGCTGTGATTGTGAGACGCTGTAACTAATAAATTGGGAATAGCTTGCGAATAGTAAGTAGTATAATAGTTGGCAATAGGTCAAATGGAAGCTTATAATGAAAGGAATATAAATATGCATATAATATAATCGCTGAATAGTTACCAAATAAGAATATATGTATAGTATTAGTTCATAAATAGACCCTAGCAGTAACTGTCCATTTATTCTTCGTTATGTATACTACTCGGATTGTAACGAATCATTCCGAATGAATATCTTTTAGATATTCTTAGGGAATTAGTACATCTGTAGTGAACAAGAACACTAGTGGGACAACCAAATGTATTTGAACACAAAAATACAGAATCTCTTAGTAAAATCTGAGAACCATACAGTAAGTTCTTCATTTGCAAAACGTCAATCAATTGTCTCAAACTTCACTGTTCCTTCGTTTCCACACTAATCACTCTCTGTTCTCGTTCTCTTTTCTTTGATCTTAACCTTCTACCTCCAGACATTTCACTTTCGATTGATGATACGTACTGCTTATATCTGTCGACATCAGTAGCACACACCACACAACTACTGAAAAGGCTTCAATTTTCCTTATTGTTTATAGTACTTATTTGTTTGTCTGATGTTTCCATGTTAATAATGATTTTGTACATATGACATTAGTTCGTTTGCTGTATTTGATATTTCTTTTTTTGTTTTGTAGGCTTTTCATTCACCCGCCTATTAGGTTTATCTGTTAATGAATATGTAAAAATTATTCAAACTGGGGGTTTTTCACATTCCGATTCTCAAACTATTTCTCATAGCCACTCGGCACGTATTATAATAAGCAACTATTTCAATGAAGATATTACAGTGAGTAAAAACGCTTCTGGTTTATTACAGCTGAATTCATTATTCCCTATGAGTCATGTGCGTACTTCTCGTCATTCAGTTGCACAATTAGTTTATCTTCAAGGTCTTCTCCTTCGTCAAGTTGAATATGAATCGTCTACCACTGTATCGAATGTACCATCAGTTTTCATTCATTGTCCTGGAATAAGACCTTATATTCCGAATTTTGTCTCAGCTGCAACAACTCACAAAGTATGTTTCTGTCTCATTTAGTTTGTTATTGATAACTAAAATATAAATCTATTCATGGTGTTAAGTATCATTTGAATTTCCAGTCGTCCGAATTTTATGAACTACAAGTGAAAATTTAAGTTTGCATAACCACTGCTTATATTTACTTAATAACCTTAGTATCTTACATCCTCCTTCGTACAGTAATTAACATACCTTCTACTTTGCGTCCGGTATTACGCTATAACAGGATGTTGGTTGTTTTTTCTCTTTTGAATTCAATCTTTATAGATTATAGCGTTGATTCTGATTTTCAATAGTTCACAAATAGAGTTAGTTAAATGTATTAAGAGAATAACTTTATGATCTTCGAAACCAACTCATTCATAGCAATCCTAAAGTAATGTCACGAGGCAGAATCGACTGAAGCATTGATGAAACTAAGATACAGTGGATTTAGTTTGAAACTTAATATTATAAGTATTCATGTTTCACAGAGATCATGACGTGCAGCGTTTTTATTAAAATCATTTCAGTTTCATGTTCACTTTCAGTTGATTCTCCCGATCGAAGCTGCTACCTTGACGCGGTGGTCGGGCTTGCCTATCGTGATGACCCAACCGAGCTATATTGGCTGGAACATATGTTCCTGCAGGTTCTACCATGCCAGGCAGGTCGATTGGAGAACGGTGAGACTAAAAGCAGCAACTCAAGGTCTGAGGGCGAAGTCGTACTGCTGACTGTAGAGAGGTGTGACAGCAGTAAGGTGTTTCCCTCGGACAACCAGCATGACAGCGATGCTGCCTTCCCACAAGGAGGGGTGGGGTTAGAAAAGGTCGACCCTAAAAATGCACACCTCACCTTACCTCACGGATTTCCGTCTCCGGCGGTAAGGCCCTTTGAAGAACGGAGCTAACACGTCAAAAACCTTCCACAAAAAGGCCGTGCACGACCGGCCTCAAGCAGTTGTCCCTTGGGCTCTGCGGTCACGCTCCCAGGTCGTCAAGACCAACACTAATCCAATTTCCTTTTCAGGTTCCTCAAGAAATACCCTTCCACGGTGTGGGCAGCCGGGAAGTGACATCAGCCCTCATACCCGTAACAGCACAAGAGACCAAGGTGGTCACATTCAAATCCTTCCTACACCCCCTAATACCTCTCTTATCCTCCCGACTAACCCTCCTCACGTCTCTTTATCACCTCGCACCGCTAGGGCAAACGATTCGAGTACGTGGAACGCCATTCCTGGTCTCCTGAAACCACGCTCTAAACTACACGTTGGAGCTTTTAACGTACGAACACTTTGCCAAATAGGACAGCAGGCTTCCTTAGCTAAAACTTTAGAATCTCGCGCCATCGATGTGTGCTGCGTCTCCGAAACGCGCATACAGGATCCAAGTAGCGTCATTCATTTGACCTCACCATGCCAAAATAAAGAACCGACTCGATTTACGCTTCGTGTATCTGGAAGCCCTGATTCTGCTTCCCGTGGCCTCGCCGGCGTAGGTATAGCATTGAGTCCTAGGGCAGAACTAGCTCTCTTAGAGTGGATCCCAGTAAACAGTCGTTTGTGCGCTGTCCGACTGAACGGAACAGTAAGAATCCGGAAAGATAGGGACACTCGTCGTTGCCTCTTCGTCGTCTCAGCCTATTCTCCCACTGACTGCAGCTCAGATGATGTAAAAGATGAGTTTTACAGAAAGCTTTCGGACCTTCTCCGAAAAGCTAAGCGCTCGGATGTAGTAATAGTGGCCGGTGACTTTAATGCTCAAGTAGGTAAACTAAGCGATAAGGAAAGACACCTAGGTGGATCCTATGGTGTCGTGGCTCAAAGAACAGATAATGGCGACCGTCTGTTGCAGCTATGCTCAGATAACCGCCTGTTCCTTGCAAATACTAACTTTAAGCATAAGGAAAAACATCTTTTAACATGGAGAACCCCTAATTCGTCCCAACGTTGGACCCAAATAGATCACATCGCTATCAGCCACCGATGGAGGGGCTCGATAGAAGACTGTCGCTCATTCTGGAGCACATGCCTAGATTCAGATCATGCTCTAGTGCGAGCGCGTATTTGCTTGCGTCTTACTGGACGTAGGAAAGACGCTGCAAGGAAACCTCTTAGGGCCCTACTTAATGATAGTCAAGCTAAGAGTATATTTCAGGAACAACTAGGAAAACAGTTAGGCAGCCATGTATGTGATGCCCACCCCGAGGCAGCATGGAATGATATCCGAAAAGCTGTGGAAACAGCAGTGATATCTGCTAGTAAGGTAAACCGTAAAGTTAGGGAGCAACACTGGATCTCAGCAGCATCTATCGCACTGATAGATGCTCGAAAACTCATTCCACCTGGCTCTGAACATAATGAAGAGCGGAGTCAGCTTAAGCGCAAGCTGACAAGAAGTCTACGCAATGATCGCGAACAGTGGTGGGTAGCGAAAGCAAGAGAGATGGAAAAGGCAGCGGCAATAGGTAATAGCAGACAATTGTTTAGACTCGTTAAGGAAACCGGAATTAGGAACCCGACCGTTAGCGAAACAATCTCAGAGAAAGATGGACATATTATTCATTCTCAATCCAGGAGATTGGATCGATGGGCAGAACACTTTAGGGATCAGTTCAACTGGCCTTCAGCCACACTTCGGTTTCCCACGATCTCTAGTCAACCTGAATGGCAAGTTAATGTAGGTCCTCCGTCCCTTTACGAAGTTGAAAAAGCCATAGGAAATCTGAAACGAGGGAGAGCAGCAGGCCCTGACAGGTTTACTCCTGAGATTTTTAAGGATGGTGGTCCAGTATTAGCAATGAGATTAACTGAGGTCTTAGGTAGAATTTGGGAACTGGACGTGATCCCATCTGACTGGTCTCAATCACTGATTGTGCCAGTTTTTAAGAAAGGACAAAAGTCCTCTTGTGATAATCACAGAGGAATCAGTTTGACTAATATAGTGTCTAAAATATTAGCCTCAATAATACTTCGACGCCTAACTAAAGCTCGTGAAGAGCAGACTAGAGAAAACCAGGCTGGTTTTCGACCTGGACGTGGTTGTATCGATCAGATATTCACACTACGTCAGGTTCTAGAACACAGACACACATTCAGACGCCCCACAATGGTAGTATTTCTCGACCTTAAGGCGGCATTCGACTCCGTTGATCGTGAGGTTCTATGGCAGTGTTTGTCACTGAAAGGAGTACCAAAGAAGTACATTAACCTTATAAAGGCTCTCTACTCGAACACAACTGGTAGAGTGAGAGCTTATGGCGAACTGTCATCAGAATTGATTACCTCAAGTGGTGTTCGTCAGGGCTGTCCACTCTCTCCATTCTTGTTCAACTTTGTCATTGACGTACTTTTAGAGATAACACTCTCCTCATCTAAATTTCCAGGGGTTGAACTTCTACCAGGAGGTTCACTTGTTGACTTAGAATATGCAGATGACATAGTTTTATTTGGTGAAGACGCTGACAAAATGCAGAGTCTTCTGACCACTCTAAGCAACAATGCAAGCATGCTCGGGATGCGATTCTCTCCCTCGAAATGCAAAATGTTGCTTCAGGATTGGGTTACATCGACACCCGAACTAGTGATAGGGAGTGAAGTAGTTGAGTGTGTCGACCGCTTCACTTATCTTGGAAGTCTCATCAGCCCTTGTGGTTTGGTGTGTGACGAAATCTCAGCACGGATACAGAAGGCTCGACTAGCTTTTGCCAACTTGCGTCATTTATGGCGTAGGCGAGATATCCGTCTATCAACCAAAGGACGTGTTTACTGCACAGCAGTTCGTTCCGTCCTACTTTATGGCAGTGAAACATGGCCGGTAAGAGTAGAGGATATCCGTAGGTTACTAGTATTTGATCATAGGTGTCTTCGAAACATTGCTCGTATATCATGGGACCATCGAGTAAGTAACACAGTTGTTAGGAAACGGGTACTAGGTAAAGATGGCAAATCAATTGATGACGTAGTGAAACTTCATCAGTTGAGATGGCTGGGACACGTGTTACGTATGCCCAACGACCGACTGCCTCGACGTGCTATGTTCAGTGGTATAGGAGTAGGTTGGAAGAAAGCTAGGGGCGGCCAAACCAAAACATGGCACAAATCCATGAAGTCACTGACAAGTGGACTGAGTCATGTTGGTAGGTGTAGACTACCTGGTTGGGGACCGCGAGATGACAGCAACCGATGGTTAGAGACCCTGAATGACATGGCTCAAAATCGTTTGCAATGGCGCAGGTGCATCCACTCTCTGTGTTCTCCCAAACTCTAATCTTCTGAATTCTTCATGTCCCTTTTTTCCTCTTTCCAAATTTCTTTCACTGTATTATACTCTTTAAATAACATCTCCAAACCCTAATCTTCCCGATTACTGCTTATACTCTTATTACCTCTACCACTACGGGATTTGAATCGACAAGTGCATCTCTGTGCTAATGTGGTGTGGCAACTCGAACTGATGTACGTACGTACGAAGTTCTACGTTGTTACTGACTGACTGACTGACTGACTTCAGTTGATTCTCGATAAATCATGGTATTTGCCAATCTTATCGATTGCGTTAACAAATGAACGTTCTCATACAAGCTATGGATTTATTACAAACAGTCGTGTATGGGAAAAAAGTAATCGACAGCTTTATCAACAGAAGCGACATATTAAATTGTAGTTATGTTATCTGCGAGTTTGTCGTATTGTCATATCAGCTCAAATTTCAGATCTAAACAGTTCATATGATTACGAATTTGTATGTGCTCACTTTCAACAAAGTGAATAAACTGAGTCCAAATTCAAGACCCATAATTCCCTTTTTGGGAGATCTTAGAACGAACAATCTGGTGTAGGAATGGTATAGAGGATTTAGCCAACTCATTGGTGCAGCTTATCCAAGCATATAGAAATCTAATGATGCTCTAAAAACTACATAATCTAGATGGATTAAAAAACTTAACATTTAGTTGTAGGTATCCAGCAACAGCATGTAAAAAGGAGTGATCAGAAGGTAGCAGTAGGTACTAAACTGGTTGTAGGAACTTAGTGCAATAAACCGATACCAGACTACTTACGATGAATAGCATGAAGTTTGAGCTTTCACATTTATGTATATTTAGAGATGGCCCTCGGGAACCCTAAGAAGCTCGGAAAGAGTCGAATACACTTCATCTAATCACCTTCTGGAAGAACATTCCAGAGTCTCGACGTCTAACTTTCCGATTGGACGAATGCTGAAAACCACAACATGTGAATTGGATGATTGTAATGATGATTTCGTTTTTACTAAAAAATTATAAATACCTAAATGTTTTGTACCGTGTTTGACACTGATTGGAATAAGATTCCCTCCTACTCGTCCTCTATCTTCTAACTTGCAATTTGGAGGGTTCTAGCGTCCGAGTGCTCAAGTTATACGTGGTATGGCAAGAATACAAGCTCTAGATATAACAGTATACTAGATTGGATTACGGAAGGTTCACAATGTAAATAAAAAAAATCACTTTTACTAATGTTCACCCTATTCTGTGCGCCCCTTTTGGAGGATACTCCTCAATTTATTTGGCTCTTGTAAATAAATGTTAGTTATTTCTTTCTAGTTGACATTTACTCACTGAAGTTGATTTTATTTGATTGATTGTTCTTGTTGTTAGCTTGCTAATTTCGTTGTGTCCCAAGGTCATTGTTAGTTGTTATGTTTGCATGTTTGTGCCACTACGATTATGTCTCTGAGTATGGATTTTTTTTCTAATCTCATAAATTCTCTGTTTTTCATTGTATTAGGGATTATTGTTGAAGTGTTGTGTGTTAGTTGTCCTGTTTATCTCACTCCCATAGAGTCGTGTCCATATTAGAATAATATCCCAGTTGTTTGTAATTAAAAACTACAAGTCATTTTCAAAACTTAATGGAAATAGTGATGCCTATAATTCAACGATCTTCGTAAACTATGCTTCCTCTCTAAATACAACCTACAAAGAATTATCAGGCATGTGTGTATTGATTAACGAAAAGCTACTCCTCAAAACCAAACAGCCCGAGTTATAGCACCTTCATTCTTTAGAATTAAATTATTTTAACAAACCAACTTAATCTCTTAATTATAATAAAGATAGTTCCCGTAGTTTTATGGCTCCAACTGGTTAAATTAGTAAAGGGCTATATAACATACTGAGTCGGGAGAAATTAGCCAACAAGTTTCAGAAAAAGAACTAAATGATTTACTTTTACTCCACAACTGCACGGTGTTTTTGAATTGAAAACGAAGGAATTTGACTAGTTAACATATTGGACATGAATTGTTAAATTGCTAACAATCATCTGCACCTATTTATCGAAATCACACATTTTCATGTTTCACTCAAGCTTTTGACTAGCATACCATTGATATGTCCTTCAGAAACATTTTCGTCCAGATGTGCAAATATCCAAAACTTATATAATTTTGACTCAGTAAATGATTTTTAAATCCAGCATTGTTTTTTGCTTACTCATATAGGGCATCCTATTTTGTGCAACATATAAGGAAATTCTAATTTGGCTTTTTTTATTGTTTGTTTTAGGTATTAATTAATCCACTTAAACCGTTTGTAAATACGTGTAATTATGATACATCACATGTTTATTCATTATCGTACAATGTGACCACCCCATTGCCTAGAAGTCTGGAGCTTGTTTCACGTGCTACACGCATTTCAGATTCTGGTAAATTAACTACATTAGATAACCTTCTTTCTGAATTGAAATCAAATGGACATCGTGTATTAATTTATTCACAAATGACACGTATGATTGATATACTAGAGGTTAGTCTCATTTGATTTGACTTGTTTTTTTTTCAGAAAATTATTCATTTATTGTTATTTCGGTCTCAAGTTAGATATTGTAGCTGGGTTGATAAAGTGTTTTTATGATCTTTTTGTCTATACGTATTTCCCTAATTATGGTAGAGAATTCTCTACTAGTCTATTTGGAGCATTTCTGTTGATTTTGTACTTTGATATTTAAGGAAACATTGGAAAGCTGGTATACTACAACACTTATATATTCAAACTAGAGTTTCACACCATTATTGTATTTCACATTCTGTACAGAATTTATTGAGTTCAGGAATGATCATCTGCGCCTCTAAACACAAAGTGAGTTTGAGGATTCTTTTTTAACACAATTGTCGAGTAGTGACGAACACGACTCTTGTTTCGTTCTTCCTGATGCTCTTTATGATGGTATATCTTCTATTTTAATGAAACTAATGTTCTTCGACACTACGGCGTGCCCCAGAAGATAGTCAATATCATACAGAACTCATATGATGGATTACACTGCAAAATTGTGCATGGGGGACAGTTAACAAAGTCGTGTTAGGCAAGGTTGCTTACTCTCACTCTTTCTCCGCACTGAGATTTCATAAGACACCAACACGTCATGATTAATGAGACTTCCAAGACAATTGAAGTGATCGACGTGCTCTACTACTCTCAATCCCTGTCATTAGTTCAGACGTTGACGCAGACCGTTCCTGTAACAACATTTTGCATTTAGAGAATTTAAAAAAACACAAGTTTTACGTATTTTTATGGTACATCTATGGAAGACAGATGCTTCCACCAAACCTCTTGATCGATAAAGTTTAATGCTACTTTAAGGTTAAAAAATACCACAGCAATTAGGTATCGGTAGTTATGTTTGTGTATTAAAACTCAGCGAAGAGCAAATATGTAACAGAGTTCTTCAACAAAACAGATTGGATGATATGCTGTTTCATCATCCTTTGTTAGACTGTCTTTCCTCCCTACCCGTCGACGACAGATGGAACTAACACAACGGAGGTCCTCAAAGCACAATTTATGTGGCACCCAAGTCACCAGATCCAGATGACCTAGCCTCGATTCTTTTTAAAGGTAGCGAACGTTTGGTCAGAAAGCTGACTAGTTTGTTTTAAAAGATGCAGAAAATAGTGTCCCGGCATTACTAAATGAAGCGACGGCCATCTTCGTCTTTTAAAAAAGTCCTTATTTAATTTATGCAACAACTATAAGGGAATAATTCTACGTTAGATTGAAATCAAACTATTGGTTTCCATAATACTTCACTGATTGTTCAAAACCCGTGAAAGTATGATTCGTGGGAAGCAGGTTATTTTCGATTAGTTCGTGGATTTATTGACCGTGTTTTCACACCACTGAATGTTAATGATAAGTATGGTGACCTCTTGAAAACTACACAAACACTGAGTAAAGTGAAGGCATAAAATCACCTCTCTCCATTGTTGCAATCTAGTAATGAGGTTCTTCAACTCAACCATCGATAGCATTCTTAAAATAGTTCTGAAGAAAGTACGTGGTGATGGAACTGAAAGAAGTTTCTCTGGTCTCATTTTCAACTGAACTGTATCTCCTATTATAAACTGTTTTCGTTTTCATATTTCTACTCATTTTTTGCTAGTACCTTTCTCTCCTTTACTCTTTTTATAAGTCCAACGTTTATTTATTTTGTTGCTCAGTTTTATTGGTATTTATTTCTTACAAATAAGACCAGCATTCTCCAACCCACTCTGTCCTGGGCCTTCTTTTCTAATTCCATCCAATTTTTGTTCATTCTTCTCATGTCTATCTCCATTTCCCGGCGTAATGTGTTCTTTGGTCTTCCTCTTTTCATTTGGCCTTGAGGATTCCATGTGAGGGCTTGGCTTGTGACGCAGTTGGGTTACTTGCTTACTTACGCCTGTTACTCCTCGTGAAGGAGCATAGGCCGCTCACCAGCATTCTCCATCCAACCCTGTCCTGGGCAATCCTTTCTAGCTCCTTCCAGTTGTAATTCATCTTTTTCATGTCTGCCTCTAATTCCCGACGTAATGTGTTCTTTGGCCTTCCTCTTTTCCGCTTCCCTTCAGGATTCCAAGTTAAGGCTTGTCTCGTGATGCAGTTTGATGATTCGCGTAATGTATGTCCTATCCATTTCCATCGTCTTTTCCTAATTTCTTCTTCAGCTGGAAGCTGATTTGTTCTCTCCCACAGAAGGCTATTGCTGATGGTATCCGGCCAATGGATGTTGAGTATCTTGCGTAGACAGCTATTTATAAATACTTGTACCTTCTTGATGGTGGTCGTTGTAGTTCTCCAAGTTTCAGCTCCATACAGTAGAACTGCCTTGACGTTCGTATTGAAGATTCTCAATTTGATATTGGTTGAAAGTTGTTTTAAGTTCCATATGTTCTTCAATTGAAGGAATGCAACCCTTGCTTTGCCAATCCTCGCCTTTACGTCTGCATCTGAACCTCCTTGTCCATCGATGATGCTTCCTAGGTATGTGAAGGACTCTACATCTTCCAGAGTTTCGCCATCAAGAGTGATTGGATTGCTGTTTTCCGCTTTGAATTTGAGGACCTTGGTTTTCCCTTCGTGTATACTGAGGCCTACTGTCAAATGTGATTGATAGACGAACCCACCAATAATAAGGGAAACGCCCACCACCACATCAACTCCTTTTGACCTTGTACGACTGTATCTCTTTATTAACCAATCACAGTTTAATGTTCATTGTAAAACAATATTGGCTTGTTGACTCATTTTTCCTATTCTCTAGCTACTGTTCGAAAAAGATAAAGTTTATATAGTCAAATAGCTTACTTGTTCTGACTTTGGCTAAACCAAGACTCTGTACTCGACAGTCTCGAGATTAGCTTAGAGTTGAATCTGTAGGAAATTGCTTCCTACAAAGTTTCGAACAGTACATTCGATATACCTACTGAAGTGACTTCCAATAAACACTACGATTCCGATGAGATTCCAGAATTATCACCACATCATTCAGGAGTTTATGACGAGGATCAACTTGGAAAGAACGGACTCAAAAACAACAGCATGATAGAACTAGAGTTAGCTAGGTTGCGCATAACCCAGTTAGAAAATGAAATTGAACTAGAAAAATTACGCTGCCGGAGATATGAAGGTTCCGGCCAATCAGTAAGCAACAGTGAGAATACAATATTAAAAAATCTGTATTTACCAAAAAGAGAAGTCATAAGGTTTGATGGTACACCGACAAATTATTGGAATTTCATTAGAAATTTCGAAGAATTCATTGGGAGTGAGAATATTGGATTTAGAGCTAAGCTAAATTACTTGATTCAATATTGTGACAGAGAAGCGAAAGCCGCTATCCTTCATTGTACTATACTAGAACCAGAGATAGGTTACCATCAAGCCCTAAAGCTTTAAGAAGAAACGTTTGGCCAAAAACACGTCGTAGCACGCACGTTTATCGATAATTTGTTAAATTTTCCCAATATAAGGAGAAATCAACCAGATGGTTTGAGAAGACTATCTCGAGAAATGCAAGCATGTAGTTTGACTCTCGAACAGATGAATTACGTTTCTGATTTGAACTCTTCTAGAACTATTGAAACTATGGTTCTGAAATTACCGACCCACGTTCAACAAGAGTGGCTAAAGGTAGCTTATAAGATTATCAGAGGAGGCAGAGAGTCTCTGTTTACCGATCTTGTTGAGTTTGTAAAGGAGCAAGCTGATATAGCTAATACTAGATACGGCCTACTCGTCAACCGCGATAGTAATAGTGACAATAGAGATTTTGGCGTTTTAAAAAGGAAAATTAGTACAGATTACAATGCAGCAAGAATATCTTATGCGAGTGCTAGTGATGATAATGCTCTCTTACGCGGTTCATCTTGTTTGGAGTGCTCCAGTAATCATTCTTTAGATCAATGTCAGAAATTTAGAGACAAGAATGTTAGAGAAAGGAAGGAATTCGTTCTTAGACACAAGTTGTGTAATGTATGCCTGAAGGCAAACCACGTAGCAAAAAACTGTCGATCGCCGAGGTCGTGTGCTGTCGAAGGGTGTGGCTGGAGACACCATACCCTGTTACATGAGTTGCGGGAAGAACGAAGGAATACTAATATTGATGCACACATTAACACCCAGCTATGTACGGAGAAAAGTGTTGGGAGTGTGCAGAAACAAGCAGCATTCGCAATAGTGCCTGTACTGGTAAGAAATGGAGAAAAGGTAGCACAGACTTGCGCCTTCTTAGATAGTGGGTCGGATGCCTCTCTTATTACAGAAGATCTAGCTAAAAGGTTGAATTTAGAAGGAGAGCCTAAGACGATTTCGTTGAAAACGTTGGATAACCATTCCACAATTCAGTGTAAAGAGGTTCAACTAGAGGTTTCATCCTTAGACTCGTCTTCGTCATTTAGAATCCCAAACGTATGGACAGTCGAGAGATTACCTATGTTGCGCAGGACGGTACCAACGACGTCTCAAATGAAATCCTGGACGCATTTGAAAGACATAAGTTTTCCTAGAGTAGAGGATGAGAATGTCGAACTGTTGATCGGGTGCAATGCACCGAGTGTACACGAAATGAAAGAGGTAAGAACTGGAAAGCCGAATGAACCATTCGCCGTGAAGACTCCGTTAGGTTGGACGCTGTTCGGTTCCTATGGAGAACCCTGTAAAAGCAATCGTGTACTCAATCACCTCTCAGCTAAAGAGGAATTAGAGGATAAGTTTGAACAATCGTATTCAAGTGAATTCAAAGACCGATTTAGTCGATGTCTGTGGAGGATCGTATAGCATCATCAGAATCTGCATATGGTGTCGCGGGGTATACTCGTTCCGAAGATGTCTCTCGTCAAGTTCATTGTTCGTTTTTATTAACTAAGTATAAGGTTGTTAAGCCAAAAACTGAAGCATCATCTGCTAATAAATCCAAATCAACTCTAAGAAAGCTTAAGGAAAAGGACATCAAACTGAAAGTGAAGACTACGAAAAAGCCGAAG